CAGGAGTGAGTGAGTGAGAGAGATCAAAGTAATTTCAAGTCCATTTAAACGTACAATATTTCTGCAGCTATGGGGGGTCTCTCACAGCATGAACCTAACAACAGATGATGTTTAATTGTGAAGTGGCGTTGGATTATGGGAGTTGTTGTCTTCACCACCATTGCAGTCAGATTCTCGTCGTTCAGGAGGTTTTTAACGGGAACTGAATCATCCACATCCTGATCAAAACTGGTAAAAAAAAAAACTTGAATAAAGCAGTTTCACCTTAAAAGTCCCCAACACTGATCGACCTGCCAGCCGAGCTGCTGCTAACATTAGTTCAGCTTGTTTCTCTGATCCAGACGTCTGATAACTAAAAGCCTTCTTCTGGTTAAAATATAATATAAGATCTTGTAAAAAATGTGGCCTAAAACTGTAACTGTATATATAAAAGTCAATTTATGACAACTTCTAGCAGACAACTATGTGCAAAGGGGATATGACGCCATTGACAGGTGACCTGAAAGAAATTACAGGTTTCTCTTGGTTTTAGAATTGTTGGAGACATTTTGGATAATGTAAGCACACAACTCAACACAATATATAACATATGTAATGTTTATAGACATTTCAATGTGGAAATGTGACTAATATTATAGCTTTAAAAGTCTGTGATCTTGCTTTTATTATTAACTGTGATGTTTTTTCATGTTTGTGCCTGTGGTGGACAGCTGGGTTAGTTTGGTTTAAGAGGTTTAACAAACTATTATCACAATATCTTTAGCCACAGTGTGAATTAAACTGTATTTGTACCAGTGCCGACAGAAGAGCATCTAGAAAAAAGAAATCTTCCACAATGATCATTAAAAGTATGGATACACAACCAGTAGAGTACTTTATCTATAGTACTAAAACACCTTATAACACATACTGTAGCAGGTTCAGAATAGATGTGAAGAGCTTCCTGAAGAGCCGCGGTGCATGACTCTTCATCCAGGCCTTGAGTCTGTCTGCCTGAACGCTGCCTGAATGCCCCGAACACATACCAGACAGACCACGGGCCACTGGAGATGAAGGAACAAGCTGCGTACAAGATGGTGAGTTGTCCAGTACTCTCCTGGGAAATCAGTGTACTAACCACATCGATAGCTTCAATACCTGCAGTCCTTAATTATTACACAGCTGTCCATCAGCTGCGCATACTGAGCCTCAACCCAACCAGGGAAACAATCCTCCGAGGCAGTGGCCAGAAAATTTGACTCATCCTTCAGATTGATAATTAAGCTATCCGAGGCTCCCTTCTTATAGTCTTATGTTGTGTATAAAGCGTGTCACCTCCACAGTGGTCGTGTTACAAAGCATCCTGGAAAGTAAACAAACTGTTCCCATCTGACAGTTTCTGGTGGAGCAACCTCCTCCTCATCAATACGATCTGCATTTCAGTGTATTGCTGGGTGGGTCAGTGTGCATAGATCATAGTAGAAACACCGGTTTGGTAGATGGATAGAGAGCCACACAGCTGCCGATGAGGTTATCCTGCTGCACCTTGCTAACAAGGTTATTGATTGATAGGAGATCTATAGAACGACTTATTTAAACTGTGTCTGTCTGCATCTTTTAACTTAAGTTGTACCGTTTTATTGAATACAGTTCCAGGTGGCATTAAGATCTCCCTCGTCTGCCTTCTTACATGAAAGTTAGTTTGAATTGTACACACTGGAAACAGACAGGAATCCTGCACGGGGGGAGAACATGCACCAAGTGTTCCCAGCTGGATTTAAACTGATTTTGTACGTGGATACAACCAAAAGTAGGAAGGCAGATCCCCCTTATTATACCCAGAATGCCTTGGGTGAGAGGTACGGGCTCTACCCTGATCACTGGCTAACACATTTTGTGTAGACAGACAAACTATTCACACCTTTTAAACTAAGCTATGATATAAGTGACAAATATGCAAATTTCACTCACAAAAGGCAATTCAAAGTAATTAACATGACCTATAAATCACCTTAGATAACAAACAAAGAAACCCAAAACACAAAGTTAAAGAATATAACTATTTTTAAAGTAAAAGATCAAAAGAAGAGATATAAAAGAATTAAACAAACTGTAATGTGAGTACAAGATTAAGCCAAAGGGAGAACATGAAAGTTTTTAACCTGGTTTTAAAGGTAGTCACAGAAGCTATAATCAATATTTTATATATTTCGTGAAAGGGGTCCCTCATATAGTGATTCAACTACAGTATTATCACCTGAATCTGCAGCTGGCCTCAGCTTTATGGAGCTTTATAATGAGTTTCAGCTCAATGTTCAGCAGTCCAGCCCACAAAATTACTGTTTTTGGTTCAGTCTCACTGCTCTCACAGCGTCGTTCTTGGCCACTGCACGCTACCTGTTCAGCATCAAACAACAGATAAAACAAAGGGTTGTTGAACACTGTGGAGCATTTAACAGCTAAAGAGTCAGCAGGGAGGAGCTAGAGTCCCAGAAACAGAGCTTAAAAGGAGAGTGAATATTGGCCAGAAACATGACTTCAGATGAATTATAATGTTGCTCTGTAACTGCTGGATGTGTGAAGCAAGCATGTCAACAAGTGTTCACAACACAATAACTCAACACTGCTTCTCTATATCTCTACTTTGGACTCTGGGAATGGTTAGCAGACAGCTACAAGATGAGAGTTAATATATATAGTTATATTTTTAACTCAGTGCAAAGACCAGAGAACTGTTGTGATCTGTGTTGACCACAGCAGCGGCAGCGGCACTTTGAAGAAGCTGAAGTGGAGATTTATGGGAGATTGCAATTGTCCTGAATGCCCGAAAAGAAAAAGAAGCACTGACGAGTCCTGGACATGAATCATGTGATTTTTGCTATTTTAGTGAGCAGATTTAATGACCTGTTTAGATGATTTACACCACGAGAGATCACTGAAGATCAGCCTTTATTAAAAGCTAAAGGATGCAGTTTCCCTATTTGTTTAATGTACTTGTGATAAGAATATTTACTGAAGCGTGTAAAAAAAGGTTGAACAAAAGAGGCCCGAACAATTTCACCTTCGGAAATTGAGCATGTCATGTTATTTTGCTTAGTTGCTGAATGAGACAAAGTAGTCCCTGTCCTGGAGGACTGACTTAAAGTCCAACCCACTTTCCCACTCTTTTTTAGTTGTATTATGGTGAACTGAGGCACATGGAGCACAAAGACTCTAAGAATAACCATTAGCTTGAATGAGTTGATGACTCCAGATCCAGATTATCTTCTGGCCTGATTCAATCTAACTTCTCTTCTTTCTTCTTTTTTAATTTACAGCTGGGAACTAGTGACTTTTTCCCTTTTGGTTCAGCTTTTCTGCCTGTTCTCTCTCTCTCCTTCTCTTTTCTCTCCCCCCCTCCTGCCCTCTTCGACCTTCTCTCTTCTTCCTGTCCCTTCCCCCACTGCAACCTACCCCCACCCTCTTTTATCCCACTCAGGGTAGAAACACACCAAATGCAGGCAAGGCCACCAGGAACCTCCTACCTCCCACACTTGGTCGCCTCTGGGCAGATCGATCACGCTGTCAGTTCAAATTACCGCCTGCTTCGCCTGTTGTTTTCTGTTTATTCCCACAATGATACAGATCAGTTCAGGAGCTGCATCTGATTATTTACAATGAAACCCTTTAAGCAGTAAACAGCAACAGGTACTTGCGGTGCTGGCTGCGGTCGAGTGGTTAAGATGCTGGAATCCATTTGGTTTTTTTTTTTTTTTCATGGTTTGCTCACTGTGCTGCAATGTGTTTACATGTCCAACACATAGTGAGTGACTGTGTGTAGAGATTCAGAGAGGAGATGGAGAAAAAGGTCGACTTCACAGCTGCAAAATGCTTAAAACTTCATAGACTTAAAACACTCTCTGTGTTACTGCTGGTATAGAAGATGAAGGGTGATGAAACAGGAAGGGAAGTAATTGAATAATGTGCTTTATCCTGCTGCAAGTATAAGAAACTGAACAGCTGGTCTGCAAGGATGTGTGTTTGCAACCTGATAATCAGATTTAACTTCATTAACATATATATGTTGTTATATTTAAAATATGAGATGAGGGCAACAATTCAGTGTTTCCTATAATCCTATTGTAATGCCTATGCAAACTTTGTGCTATTCTCTTACTGACAAAAGTAAGTTTTGCAGGTTTTTATGTCACATTTTAACATTGTACTTTAGGTGTATTAAAAAAAGGTTAAAAATGTTCCTTTCCTTTGTTTTCAGTAACGGATTACTCTATTAGAGTTACATAATCAGAATACATTAAAAAAAAGGTACTGTAATCCATTACAGTTATAGAAAAAAAAGGTGTAATCTGATTACAGTACATTTAGTAAACATTTTGATTATTTAACAGGATTACAAGTTTTAAATACATTAAGTTTTCTTTAAAAATACAGTCAGCAGACGACTTATTTTTGATGCTTAAAATATTTCCATGTTTCTGTTTCCATTTTTATTTGTTTTCATAGTTTTGTTGTCTTATAGAGATGTATCAATACTTCTTATTGACATTTCTTTTCTCCTATTTTTATCTACACATTTGGTTTTGTAAAAGTTATGTTACTTTAATATTGCAATACTCGGATTAGGTAACTGACTTTTTAAAAATGTAATCCTCCAAACCCTGTTTGTTTTTTAATAAATGTATAAAACACGAAACATACACGAAAGAGAGAATTACAAGAAGAATATGACTATTTTTTGTATAAATTAAAGAAAAATTTTTTTTTTTTTATTTATTTCATTTAGCTATGAATTTAAGTTCTCTATAAAAATAAAAAACGTACCCTATAAAATGTGTTATTTTTTGTGTAAGATCTCTGGTGTAATGTAATTACTGTAACACATTTTCCTTCCATAGGGAGTGGAGACCAATCATGATCGAATCCTGTAGGAAAACAAACGCTCCGATTGGCTGAGACGCGGCATCGGTTTCAAGGCGCCCTGCGTTCTGTCGGGAGGCGGGGGGGGTTGAGGGGGGGTGTCTTGTGAATGGAGGGGGGCGCCTGGAAACCGGTGGAATCTGCACGGAGTGAGGAGAGCGAGCCTCTGGACTTCCAACTGCTCAGCATGTGAACCGTCGCTCCGTGTGAAGTCAAGTCGAGAGGGGGGAAAAAAAAAAAACCCCGATAGAAAAATACGACTTTTTAAGTTTTAAATGTTTGTTTTTAAGCGCCGAAACCACAACGCGTGAGTGCTACGACGCCTGGAATAATTCTGGTTCGCTTTACTTCGAAGAAAATGGGACTTTAAGTGTGATTTTTTTTTTTTTTTTCCGTTTCCCACCCCCCTCCGGATTGGGAGTGAGAGTGGACTGCTTGGAGTCACTTACAAAGACCATCAAGAAGTCATGACACGACGAACGTTCCATTCGGATTAATCTTCACTAAATACGAGTAAAAACACGACTGCGGCCATTTCTGCTCGGTGTACTCGGACTGTACGATACGTGTTGCCGCATTTAATGTAGGTTTCCGTCGCTTTTTCGACCGTTTTTTTCAAGTCGCCCTACTTGGATCAAAGTTTTTTCCTTCCTTCCCTCCCTCCCCCCACCCCCCTCTCTCTCTCTCTCCTCCTGCTCCTCTCCACCACCTCCTCCTCAACTATGGCGGCGGCCGGGTCCACCACTGGCTCCGTGCTCCCGCGGATCATGTGGCTGCTTTGCGGGCTGTCCTCACTCTCTTCGGCTCAGCACTACAGCAGCGACAGCGGGATATCCGTGCCAGAACACGGGTTCTGCCAGCCCATTTCCATCCCACTCTGCACCGACATCGCCTACAACCAGACCATCATGCCGAACCTCCTGGGCCACACGAACCAGGAGGACGCGGGGCTGGAGGTGCACCAGTTCTACCCTCTGGTTAAGGTCCAATGCTCCGCGGATCTGAAGTTCTTCCTCTGCTCCATGTATGCGCCGGTATGCACGGTGCTGGAGCAGGCCATCCCCCCGTGTCGGTCCCTGTGTGAGCGGGCCCGGCAGGGTTGTGAAGCCCTGATGAATAAGTTCGGGTTCCAGTGGCCGGAGCGGCTCCGCTGCGAGGCTTTCCCCGTGCACGGAGCCGGTGAGATCTGCGTGGGCCAGAACACATCCGAACCCAGCAGCCCGTCCTCCTCGTCGTCCCCGTACGCACCCGAACCGGTGACCCTTCCCCCAAACATGGGTCGACCCAACCAACGCCCTCCCCCGCACAACCAGCACCACCAGTTCTCCTGCCCCCTGCAGCTGGAGGTGCCCTCCTACCTGGGCTACCGGTTCATGGGGGTCAAGGACTGCGGGGCCCCGTGCGAGCCCAATAAACCCACCGGCATCATGTATTTCCGGGAGGACGAGGTGAAGTTCGGCCGGCTGTGGGTCGGGATCTGGTCCATTCTGTGCTGTGTGAGCACTTTATTCACAGTGCTCACGTACTTAGTGGACATGAGGCGGTTCCGGTACCCCGAGAGACCCATCATCTTCCTGTCGGGCTGCTACTTCATGGTGGCGGTGGCCTACGCCGCCGGGTTCTTCCTGGAGGACAAAGTTGTTTGCGTGGATAAATTCAAGGATGACGGCTACAGGACGGTGGCCCAGGGGACGAAAAAGGAGGGCTGCACCATCCTCTTCATGGTCTTGTACTTTTTCGGTATGGCCAGCTCCATCTGGTGGGTGATTTTGTCCCTGACTTGGTTCCTCTCTGCCGGGATGAAGTGGGGCCATGAGGCGATCGAAGCCAACTCCCAGTACTTCCACCTGGCCGCATGGGCTGTCCCGGCCATCAAAACCATCACCATCCTCGCCATGGGTCAGGTGGACGGCGACGTCCTGACCGGGGTGTGTTTCGTCGGGATCTTCAACGTGGACTCGCTCCGCGGGTTCGTCCTGGCTCCGCTCTTCGTCTACCTGTTCATCGGCACGTCCTTCCTCCTGGCCGGCTTCGTGTCCCTCTTTCGGATCCGCACCATCATGAAGCACGACGGCACCAAGACGGAGAAGCTGGAGAAGCTGATGGTTCGGATCGGGGTGTTCAGCGTCCTCTACACGGTACCGGCCACCATCGTGATCGCCTGTTACTTCTACGAGCAGGCCTTCAGGGAGCACTGGGAGCGCACCTGGCACATGCAGACCTGCAAGCGGTTCGCCGTGCCCTGCCCGGTCCACAACTTCGCCCCCATGACCCCGGACTTCACCGTGTTCATGATCAAATACCTGATGACCATGATCGTCGGGATCACGTCGGGTTTCTGGGTCTGGTCCGGGAAGACGCTTCAGTCGTGGCGGCGGTTCTACAAGCGCCTTAGCAACGGTAACCATGGAGAGACAACGGTGTAACGGCGAGGAGGATTTAAAAGACACAAAGCGGAGTTTCTGTTTGTTATTGGGGGGGTCGGGGATATAATAACCGTGTAACAATGAGGTCAAATAGCTTTCATTTTAATACTATTTTGGACATATTTTTTTTGTTTTTGTTGTTTTCAGCTTGTGACAGCAATTCAGGCTTTTGGACACACGACTTTAATCTATATTTGATAGAAGTTGGACGACTTTTTTTATATATATATATCTTTTTTTTCATCATCATCATCATCATCATCAGAGAGCACACACACACACACTGGCATTTACATCTGGATTATGAACTGGTGTAAATGGCCACACCGCTCCCTGGACTCTTAATGCCAGACTGGTGAAGTTACTTTTAGTATGAAACCTCCCTCCCCCCCCTTCTTCTTCTTCTTCTTCTTCATCCCCTCTCCTTACATATTATTCATTATATCCTTTTGATATTACAATTTGAATGTACTTTCTGTCTGCTCTAACAGAAAAAGACTGATGGGTGAAGCAGTGTGGCCTTCTGTCCATGGGGGGCAGTGAAAAGGTCAAAGGTTTGATCCCTTTACAGCAGCCACACCCTCTATGAATTCATGAATGACGGATGCCTGGATTATACATGTACATTTGAAGTTACTCTGCTTTTTTAAAAATTTTTTAGCTAAAGACTGAAATCCTTTAATACACGTGTGTCAGATATTGCAGAGTACAATCTCGACCTGTTTTTAATTGGAGTAATAACTCGTCAACTCCACCATTATGTGCCAAGTGGCTGCCCAGAAATCAAACTTTTTTTCCTTTCTCATTTTTTTTTAAATTTCTAACTTTATTTTTTAATCTTTTTTCCCCCCTTTTTTTCAGACTTGTTGAGTATTTGTATTGAATGTTCACTCCGAAAGGTGAATGAAGTTATGTATTGGTTTGCACAGCTTATCCTAAAGGTTAAAAGTGTTACAAAAAAAAAAACAAAAAAACGACTGATTCACCACAGGGTGACCCGGATCAAACAGCCGGAGACCACACACACACACACACACACACACACACACACACCTCCACACTCTGTAAAGAAGACACAACAGCTCATTGTTTATCTCCGTGTGTGGTCTCTCAACTGTTGGATCCCCCCCCATCAAAAAGACTTTTTAAAATTTTTTTTTTTTTACTTTAAAGCTTTTAAGACATCCAAAGCACCATTTCAAGGATCCAGATTTAATCCGAGCTCAGTGGAAATGGTTGCTCGGGATCTTTTATAACGTTATTTCATCCTGGATACAGATGACTGTACACACACACTCACACCTGTAACTGAATCTGCCTTACTCCCATGTAATGTCACTTGAAGTGTTAAATGCTTTTCACAAGCGGACTGAACATTTTTAGAGTTTGTTTTTTTAATTAATCATTATTCTAGTGTCTTGGGTACTTTACCGCAGCCTTCGAAACACAGAGAAAACTTTATTTTTGTCTCTGTTTGGAAACAAGACTTCTGTTTTGATGTTTTAAATCACAGAGACACCAGGACAGAGGTCAAAGGTCACGATTATGTGTGAATATTTTTCTATTTGGAGAGGACTGTGGAGTGTCTTATCTGGTACCGAATCACTAGACATAATACGGCAGATTATTACGACACAATTGATTTTGTTTGTTGCTGAACTTCGTCTAGTGAGCAGCTCATAATTCTGTTTTTAAACCCTTTTTAAATACAATAGGAGGGTAACACGTCAACTTAATGCCTCTAACACAATCCAAACATGGGGTACAAGTCGGGACACAGGCTGTTCAGTTATTTAATGATAAAGTCTACATTAAACTGATTTAGTCCCATTGGTTAAGCCACTGTTACGTAGACTGGCTATTTGAACATAACCTATTTATCCGACTAAATAATCAAATAATTAATGATCTTGTGGGCAAACCTGAGCAGAAAAACACGTTTTAAATCTGCTTTTAGGTGTTTGTTTGTTTTTTTTTTGGTCTTGTCCTCTACATACACCCTGCAGCGACGAGGGAAGACTCACAACAATACGACGTGTAATCTATAAAGCTGTGTCCTGAATTCCACACTCAACTTACTCTAGCAAATACACACCGCGTACTAATGTTTCCCACGTGAATGTACGACATACCTCAAACCCTAAGTTTTTAAAGGATTGAGTGAGGAACCAAACAGGGCGGCGCTCCACTTCACAGGTCATCTCTCTCGTCCGTCACGTCTTTGCCTAACAAGGAAAAAAGTGTTTGTGTGTTAATAATCGTCTTCAGGCGGCTGAGATCTGCCCCGTGTCAGCGATCAGCGGACTGATGTGTTTGTCTTGTATTAAGTTTTCAGAAGGAATATGAGTGTGTGGGGTTATTTTTTTTTTTATTGGAACATAGCGGTATGCAACCTACCATGTAAACACAGACTTTAAAAAAAAAAAAAAAGGCATATTGTATTTATGGGGTTACTCATTTTCTTGTCTTTTTTAAAGTTTTTTTTTTTTTTTACTTGTTTTTTAATGAGATACACCTGTTGTATGTGTACAGTTTGAATAAAAAGCGATGAGGTTTGTAATGTGAGTCCTGTGGTTTTGTGTTCATCATGCACGTATTGAACTTTTAACAGTAAAGTCTCGACCCTGGAGGCAGCAGATGATAAAATAATCTCAATCAGAGTGAGTACACCTCGAGTTCAGATGGTTTTATGGTGTTTATTATTGTTTTATTGTTGAACAGTGAGGCAGAATATTGCTTCCCTGTGAGTGTTGACCCACCTAAAACCAAATTTGGGTCTCTTGCTTTCACTTAACGCCTAAACCTTACGGCACGCCAAATATTTAACACATGACTTTATTCGCGTTAGCAGTGACACACAAGCAACATTGTGTTGTTGCTCGGAGGCACATTCAGTCAACACTCACTACAATCCTGAATGTTATTGATAACCTGATACCCCTCATTGTTTTGTGTTATTATTCTGAATGCAGCACTGTGGGACAGTTATTGTGTGTTAATGTGAATACTTCAGCTAGTTCTGGGTCTGTGTTGCTTCCTGACAATATCAATTTAGAAAAGGGTTAACAGAGATGTGGTTCTCCTGTCAGACACAACACACTCAACACAATAGATGGCTGCTTCTTTTCTGAACACATGGTATTAGTTTGTTATACTGCAGCGCCCTCTACAGACAGACAGGAGGAAGTACACAAATGGTTAATTCTGAGGGAAAAATGGGGAGTTGATGTTGACTAGAGGGAAAGGAGAAGCACAGAGAGCGGATACTGCTGAGGTTTTACTGAAGTAGGAGATCACTTATGTACACATCTAATGAAGTAATATTACCTCAGTAAAAATATACTTGGGGCAAAGACATTACAAAAGTTTTATGTCCACTGATTGCACATCGTTACTATTAAATATACGTTCATGCTAATTCATATGAATACTTAACCTCCACAAAAGTTCCTAACAGGGATAGAAAGCCATAATTAACGGAGAATAAGACTTTTTTTTATAGTGAAAGTAAACACAAGATAAAATAAAAATGGAATTATAATACAGTTTTAACACCACATGCTGATGCAGTGATGTGAATGAATGAATGAATGAATAAATGAAGGTTTCTCAGCGGATCCAGAAAACACTTTTAATGAAGAGGACTTCTCAAGGCTGAATGCAATACTTTAAATTAGATAAAGTGAAAACGAATCATTAAAATCAGGATATAGATTCATTTAATTCACATCCCAACAACAGGCTTTTTAATAAACAATCTCTTTTACATGCAACATCAAACTCAATAGAGTCAAAGGTTTAGTACTTCTACTTATTTCCACACAATGAATGAGCCAATAATAAATAATCAGATTTCTCTTCATTAGGAGCAAGTTAAAGAATATTGAGAGTACGAATCTGTACTCAGTCAGTGTGTTTTCTATGTGATGGTTAGAGAAAACAACCTGATAGTATTAAGTGAATGTGTTTGCAGTTTTGATCACTTCCTTTGTAGTTTTTGAAAACAATTGGAAGAAGTGCCTGAATGCAAAAAACTGCAATGAGTGGTCTGACACTGACCTCTCGTGGCCAAAAGTAGAAATACATATAGTTTTTAATTTACCTCATTATACCACCATAAATAATAACAGATCTTCTGAGGTTTTGGGAACCACATTATTCCTCTAAACCAGTTTGCATTTTAAACAGATGGTACCATAGAAAGTATGTGCATGTTGTCACTATGTCAGAAGAGAGTATTTTGTTAGATTCACAAATATCCTAAGATAAGTGTTAGTGTGGTGTGGCTGCAACTCCATGTTTCCATGATCTCTGACCTTACCCTCAGAGCTTTAGCCTGCAAGAGGCCTAGTGAAAGTTCCTTCCTACAGTCACAGATTTCAGTGCGAGTTCCCACCGACTTTCTGGAAATCTGAAATAAACCCACCAACACTTCGGCCTGGGGAGAGGAGTGTTTCAGCAGCGTATTCTGGGTGCTGCTGGAAGCTACAAACTACTTTGTCCCGTACTATTTTTGATCTCTACAGGTATACAAATCTGCTTATTTGATAGTTAGGTTGTAGGTGACAAAGCACTGCCATAGACATATTGTAGTAATAAAGTAATAGTACATTTAAGGACAGCCTGTGACTTTTTTGAGCACTAGAGCAATGTTTGTTGTTACCTGGGACAGTGTCATTTTTTTTGTGATACAATCAATTAGAAATTTGTCAAAGTTAAGGGTCAAAGATACAATAATAATATTGTTATATATTCACATTGGTCAGTGTCTGGCTGTAATATTTGGCGTCAGTGTAATATGTTGTAAAATGTATATGGGGGAAATATTAAGAATGAAGAGAAATGAGTGGTTGCTTATCACTACTGCAGTCTATTAAAGTCTCTGCAACCTTATAGTGTACCATGCATAAAGAAATCTACATCACAAAAACAGCTTTGCACATTTTTGTAATTTATGCACATTTTATAAACACATGTGTGCAATTTTCACAGATGTCTTGTCTATACATTTTGAAACACACTCTGTTTTTCCACAGAGCAGAGATAGTCATCCTTGCTCTAAATATTTATTTTTTGATCAAACAGAAATCTATTACAGGATTGTCTTATTTTTGGTAGGTTAAATCCATACATAAAGGGGGTGATCATCGGTTGGCCGATGAGGAGATACACAGATAAAATAATGCGAACTTTATTCGGTAAATAATCCACATCAAACCTGGAATCAACAAAGTGAAAAATACAGCCGACAAACATGTTTGATAGAGAGACAATCTGAGGTGTGCAGGTGGAGACGGCTTTTTGTTTGTTTTCTTTAGAAGTATTCAGACAAACAGCCAAAATCTTCATATAAGAGACTGAAATGAAACTAACTGGGATAACAATGGTCACAAAGGCAAACAGCAGGTCAGATATTTTGTTCAGTGCTGAAGCTGAACATGCAAGTTTAATCACTAAGTGGTGATCACAGAACACTTTGTCAATGACATTTCCACAAAACTTCAAATGGATGACGAATGAAAATGAGAATATAAAATTAACAAATGAATACATCCATACAAGCAGAATGATCATACCGACTCTCCCTGTGTTCATAATGACACTGTAGTGTAAAGGATAACAGATAGCGACATATCTGTCGTAGGCCATGGCTGCTAAACTGCAAAACTCAACTGAAGCACATGTATAGATATAACACATCTGTAGAAAACACCATGACAGGGTCACTTCATGGGTATCTGAAAACATCTGTGAGAGCATAAGAGGATACAGTGATGTGCTGCCACCGATTTCATTCACAAATAAATTACATAGTAATATGTACATTGGCTCATGCAACCTTTTGTCCACATATATGACTATAATAAGAACTGTGTTGGCCACACATATTGAGAGGTACCATAACAGCATTATACTGAAATACAGGTATTTTAACTCTCCAATATTACCATAGGCTGCCAGCACAAAAGACACAATCTCAGTTGAGTTCTCCATTTCTTTCTTTTGTTAGCAGCAAAACTAGCTCAGTAATAGTGCTGATTATTATCCCTTTGAATAATTCCTCAGCACAATATTCAACCAGAAAGTTATTTCCCCAACAACTGAGCAAAATCTCACAACACTAATATCTGCATACCAGTTTGCAAAAACAGTGTGTCTCACCACACTGGTCAAAATAACAAAGGTAAATGGATTTTGGTCATAACATCATTTAGTTGGATAATGGATTATTATGCAAACAACTGTTCAAGAGCATTTTAAAAGCTTGTGAAATCTAGTTCTTCTTTTCAGCACATTTTATAACTTAACTGTCCTTTCAGTCACTTCTGACAAAGAAGAAAGCAGATATCAATAATCAAAGAACAACATTAAACACACAGTATAGAACATAAATTAAATTTCATATTTACACATCCAAGATCACTTGTATCTCACAGATATCAATATCTCCAGATGGCTGCTGCTGCCCTCCCAACTGAACAAGACAAACGCCTCCTCTGAACTTTATACACTTCTTGGTGGGTTGGGCTGCGCTAGAGAGTCAATCTGCTTATACCAGTAAAAACACATTCTCTAAAAAAACAAAAACATTCATTATTGTCTGGATTACAATATGAGTTTACTTTTGGAGAATCTTTCCCTTTTCAGTCTTCCAGTCAGCCAAGTGTGCAGATGTGCATCATTTTTGCAACTTCAAGACTAAAATTATATAATCAACACATCAGAGGTTATTGACAAAGGAAAGAGATTCAGAGGGAAGTTTAGACCACTTCCACTGGACCACTTTTGATAGCCAGGAGTGTAGCGCTGTAGAGATGCGTCTTCTGTACTCCTGTTCTGGTGGTAGGTAAATTGGAGGGGGTCCAGTGTGGGTGGTAGGCTGGTTCTGAGGTGAGCCAGGACCAGCCTCTTGAAGCACTTTATGATCTTTGGTGTGTGCCGGAGATTGCCAATAAAAGTGTCCAGGTTATGAGTTTGAATGTCCAAAAGTTCCTGTCGGCTGTAGGAGATATATGCAAGACTGTTCTGAGTGAAAAGTCCTGAAACAAAAAGGCACATAACGACTAATTCCCAGAATCTAGTTAGACGCTGGGCCTTGCGTTGTACATGCGACGCCATCTTGATGTAAATGTTACTTAGAGAGCCACAATTCTTTACAAGCTTGATCTGTGTGCTTATGATGAATGGAAGACGGCCTTCAACACCCCTACTGAGCAATATGAGAATCTAGTATTGCCATTTTTGCCAGCATTCACAGTTGTACCTGTTGTTCTCTTTGCCCGGTTTCTCAATGGATCCTACACAGGTGAAAGCCATAGTTAACTGACCTCAATGAACATCAGTTAAACTGCTCCAATGCCGCCCCCCCCCCAGTCACCATAGCAGGAGTGCAACTGGCGGTAGTCATTGCTATCAGAGCTAACCATGAGCTGCTCCTGTCAGACTCTTCGTGTCCACGCTGGAAACAGAGAGTTCGCTGGAAGTTTGATCACAATTACGGCTGTTTGTAAGCGTTTCTGTGGGGTACCTTTGTTGTAACATTAGCTCAGCGAGCAGCTCAGAGAGGCTAACTCTCTGGTGTCTGTGGCAGAGTGTCAGGCTACCGCTACGTAGCCACAGATGTTGGTCTTATAGAAGCAGGGGTTGGCTGGTGACAAAAGCTACCAGAACATAAGGCACCTGCCTCAGGATCAACCAGTAGAAAAATTAAATTGCAATAGTAAGCAGAGGGTTGAACCGGCCTGGCAAAAATAAACTGGTCCTAGAAGTGTGTCTGCTAACTGTCTCTATGGTCCTGGTTCGGTCAGGTCATGCCTTTTAGTGTGGATATTCATCCAGTCTAACCTGCCACCCTTGACACACCCATGTATTCTTGCTGAGACCTTTTTGGTGGTGGTCTGGTGGACGTAGACGTGCATTATTTTGTCCCCCCGCACACAAAGAATAAGACCACCAGACAAACAGGGCCATTTTACTTCCTTAACTAAGTTACCCTCTTCTGAGGACACTGCTGAGCTTCTGGTCCAACATATTTTTCAACTACTAAGGACATTGTGTCAGACCGGGGATCCCAGTTCAGTGCTCATTTCTGGAGGTTGTTCAGCTCCCTCCCTAGGTTCTACTGCCAGTCTGTCTTCAGGTTTCCACCTGCAGATCAACCGTCTGATGGAGCATGCTAAGCAGGATTTGGAGACCAGCCTGCGTTGTCTCGTCTACCCCTAACCCCTCCTCTTGGAGTCAGCAGTTGACCCAGGTGACGTACTCTCATAATTCCTTGCTTTATTCTGCCACAGGTCTCCTTTTGAAGACGTCTTCAGTTATAAGCCAGCTCTTTTACTGTGCCAGGAGAAGGAGGTTAGTGTTCCATCTGCCCATTAAGTCAACAACCACTGTTACCAAACCTGGAGAAGAGCACTTTACAACCTGTTTCTTACAATATTTTGTAATCCAGCTCCCCGCTACCAGCTTGCCAAAATTACAGCTGCAGGAAAGGGCTGCATGCACACGTATACACAACACATTATGGCCTTATAAAGTTGCTATGGTGAACATATCAGAGATGTCTTGTTCACACATGCAGCAGGCACACAGTATTTATTTTAATTCCAAATTAGATTAGCATTCCATATTTCACTTAGCATTGAGTATTTAGTCACCGTAATATTGACAAGTGTGATGTGGCTGAAACTCCATATTTAAGATTATCATAAAGAAGACCTGTTTCTACCTCAAAACTGCATTTAGAGTTATGTTATCTTGCCTGCAGTCACAGGTGTCAGTGCGAGTCCCAACCAATTTTCAGGGAAGCTGAAACACCCAACAACATTTCGGCCAGTTGAAATTAGTATTTTAGTACAGTATTCTGGGTGCTGCTTGCAAGCTACAAATACTCTTTCCCATACTATTTTTGATCTCTACAGGTATTTAAATGTACTTATTTAACATTTGCTCTGTGCTTGTAAGCATTTTAAAGTGAGCATTGAAATGTACTTGTGGTGACTGATTCTAAATGTACTGTTTTATTAAGGGTCATAGTATGATCTTTTTTATTTACTCTGATTTTTTACAATTAATTTCAAAATGACGATAAGAGTTTCGTCATTCATTCATACTGATCTGTGCTTGGTTGTAATATGTTGTTTTTGGGAGATGCTAGAACCATGAATTTAGTATTACTGAAAGTTGATCGTCCCAGGAAATGGGGAAATTACTGGTTGCATATCACTAATACTGTCCATTAAATTGCGCTTTGCTCATTTTTGTAATTTCTACACATGTAATGTGATAAGTTTATGAACCACACTCTAGAGACAATTATGCTGTTTTTCCACAGAGCAGAGATAGTCATCCTTGCTCTAAACATTTATTTTTCGTTTAAACAGAAATCTTTTACAGGATTGTCTTATCTTCGGTAGGTTATATCCATACATAAAGGGGGTGACCATTGGTTGGCAAATGAAGAGATACACAGATAAAATAATGCGTACTTTGTCTGGTACATGAGCAACATCAAACCTGGAATCAACAAAGTGAAAAATGCTGCCGACAAACATGTTTGATAGAGAGACAATCTGAGGTGTGCAGGTGGAGACGGCTTTTTGTTTGTTTTCTTTAGAAGTATTCAGACAAACAGCCAAAATCTTCATGTAAGAGACTGAAATTAGACTAACTGGGATAACAATGGTCACAAAGGCAAAAAGGAGGTCAGATATTTTGTGGACTACTGAAGCTGAACATGCAAGTTTAATCACTAAGTGGTGATCACAAAACACTTTGTCAATGACATTTCCACAAAACTTCAAATGGATAACGAATGAAAATGAGAATATAAAATTAACAAATGAATACATCCATACAAACAGAATGATCATACCGACTCTCCCTGTGTTCATAATGACACTGTAGTGTAAAGGATAACAGATAGCGACATATCTGTCGTAGGCCATGGCTGCTAAACTGCAAAACTCAACTGAAGCACATGTATAGATATAACACATCTGTAGAAAACACCATGACAGGGTCACTTCATGGGTATCTGAAAACATCTGTGAGAGCATAAGAGGATACAGTGATGTGCTGCCACCGATTTCATTCACAAATAAATTACATAGTAATATGTACATTGGCTCATGCAACCTTTTGTCCACATATATGACTATAATAAGAACTGTGTTGGCCACACATATTGAGAGGTACCATAACAGCATTATACTGAAATACAGGTATTTTAACTCTCCAATATTACCATAGGCTGCCAGCACAAAAGACACAATCTCTGTTGAGTTCTCCATTTCTTCTTTTGTTAGCAGCAAAACTAGCTCAGTAATAGTGCTGATTATTATCCCTTTGAATAATTCCTCAGCACAATATTCAACCAGAAAGTTATTTCCCCAACAACTGAGCAAAATCTCACAACACTAATATCTGCATACCAGTTTGCAAAAACAGTGTGTCTCACCACACTGGTCAAAATAACAAAGGTAAATGGATTTTGGTCATAACATCATTTAGTTGGATAATGGATTATTATGAAAACAACTGTTCAAGAGCATTTTAAAAGCTTGTGAAATCTAGTTCTTCTTTTCAGCACATTTTATAACTTAACTGTCTTTTCAGTCACTTGTGACAAAGAAGAAAGCAGATATCAGTAATCAAAGAACAGCATTAAACAAACAGTATAGAACATTAAATTTCATATTTACACATCCAAGATCACTTGTATCTCACAGATATCAATATCTCCAGATGGCTGCTGCTGCCCCCCCAACTGAACAAGACAAACGCCTCCTCTGAACTTTATACACTTCTTGGTGGGTTGGGCTGCGCTAGAGAGTCAATCTGCTTATACCAGTAAAAAAACTTTCTCTAAAAAAACAAAAACATTACATTATTGTCTGGATTACAATATGAGTTTACCTTTGGAGAATCTTTCCCTTTTCAGTCTTCCAGTCAGCCAAGTGTGCATCATTTTTGCAACTTCAAGACTAAAATGATATAATCAACACATCAGAGGTTATTGACAAAGGAAAGAGATTCAGAGGGAAGTTTAGACCACTTCCACTGGACCACTTTTGATAGCCAGGAGTGTAGCGCTGTAGAGATGGCGTCTTCTGTACTCCTGTTCTGGTGGTAGGTAAATTGGAGGGGTCCAGTGTGGGTGGTAGGCTGGTTCTGAGGTGAGCCAGGACCAGCCTCTTGAAGCACTTTATGATCTTTGGTATGTGCCGGAGATCGCCACTAAAAGTGTCCAGGTTATGAGTTTGAATGTCCAAAAGTTCCTGTCGGCTGTAGGAGATATATGCAAGACTGTTCTGAGTGAAAAGTCCTGAAACAAAAAGTCACATAACGACTAATTCGCAGAATCTAGAGAGACGCTGAGCCTTGCGTTGTACACGCGACGCCATCTTGTTGTAAATGTTACTTAGAGAGTGTTACGACCCGGCTCGTGGGGGAGAGGGAAGCAACAGGAACCAGAGTGTTTTTGGTAAAATTGCAAGTTATTTATTTGCAGGGTTCACAAGGAAAACAGGAAAAGGGCTGTTGGATGCTGCTTAACTCAATGAAACAAATATAACTTAAAGAGGTCTCTCCAAAATGAGAGATAGCCACTGTCTACTTCAAAATCAACTTAAACAAAACTCTGACCCGTCATCAATAAACAAAAATACAAAGTAAGCAGCACCCTCTAAAACCTAAGGGGTATTGCACAAAACCAGGATAAGGGATTAAGCCGGGATATGTTGGTTATCCTGGCTTAATTTAGCCTCAAGTCGCTTGCATGAAAGCCGGTTAAACTTATCCCGGCCAAGTTACTATGGTGATTTATTCTCTGCAGTTAGCCTGCTCCAGACCAGGCTAACAGCCAGGCTAAGATTAATCCTAGTGATTCACCTGTATTTCCACCGTCAATCCTGTGAGGAATTAATGTGTTTTACAGCATGTCCATGGTCTTTCTAAGTATGTTGCATCATTTTAATTATCCTGCATTAAAATATTACATACATATTGTCATTTCTCATTTCATTTCAATCTGTTGGCTGTTTGTAATTGCAACAGTCTTTTTATATTGATTCAAGTGGTAGTATTATTACTCAGGACAAGTGTTATATTGCTATGCTAATGAAGACTGCTTGTCAAAATGCCGTCAGAGGTTTAATAAATATGTGTTTATTGCAGTAATTGAGATTACAAAACACAGCTGATGAAGTTGCAAAGCTGTTTTCAATTAAATCTGTGACGAGGACAATATAGTATATATAGGTCTAACTCCCATTCCTCTGTTCCCTCTTCATAATGGCTTGCCCTTTTTTTGGAGGATGTACTGGATGAGGAAGCCCTAATCCTCAGACGAGCATTTAGGCGTGAAAGAGTCTTCCGAGACAGGTCAGACCCATTGGCCTTTGGAGATGACTATCTCATTGAGAGATACAGATTCTCAGGTGATGGACTGAGATATTTATGTAGGCTGCTGGGTCCAAAAATTCAGCACCAGACAGCACGAAGCCATGCTCTCACTGTACCACAGATGGTCTGTGTTACATTGAGATGGTTTGCAAGTGGGAGCTTCCTTTATTCTGTTGGGGATGCAGAGAACCTCAATAAAGGAACCATTTGCCGCACAATAAGACGTGTTTGTCTGGCGCTGAAGTCATTCAGCAACATATTCATCACCTTCCCTGGCCACAGAAGACCCCTCTACATCAAGGAGGAGTTTTACAAGATTGCAGGTAAGCTCAATTTAAACGTGCAACCATTAGTTTCTAATTTGATCAGTCAGTTGGATACTCACTATTTTTTGTTTCAGCTTTCCCTAACATCATTGGTGCAGTGGATTGCACACACATAAGAATCAAACGCCCCTCAGGAGAACATGAGGGAGATTATGTTAACAGGAAATCCTTCCACAGCATCAATGTTCAGGTAAGAGTGATTTGTGCTTACTATGACCTGCATAAATTAATTCTGTGCATTAAATGACCTTAATAGGTTACAACTTAACATTTTAGATGATATGTGATGCTGACTGCCTTGTCAGCAATTTAGAGGCAAAGTGGCCTGGCTCAGTGCATGACTCCAGAGTCTTTCGGGCTAGTCCAATTTATGAGAGACTTTCACAAGGTAAGCCACACATTTTATTTGTGCTGTAAGCACCTTGGACATCATGTGTGTTTAACTCTGCCGTGTAGTTTTCTAAATGATATCTTGCATTATCAGGCGAATTCTCTGGTGTGCTGCTGGGAGACAAAGGCTACGCCTGCGAGTCATTCCTCTTGACTCCCCTTGCGGACCCCCAAACCCCACCACAGCAGGCCTACAACCAAGCACACAATAAAACAAGGGCTCGAATCGAGATGACCTTCGGCCTTCTGAAATCTCGGTTTCAGTGCCTGCACCACCTGAGAGTTTCCCCGGACAGGGCCTGTGATGTCATTGCTGCATGCGCAGTACTGCATAACATTGCAGGCCTGAGAAAGGAGAGGCCCCCAGTGGCTGTTCATGTTGACTGGGAAAATGCTCCCATCTTCCCAGACAACATTAATGGCAGACTTGTCAGGGAGCAATATATTGCACATTTCTTCTCTTAATTTTTGGATTTAGCCTCTTTAGTTAATAAAATATCTTAAATGTTATTTTGCTGTGTTGTTTAGCATTGGAGATTCTTTTAAATTCTACTTCACATTCATGAAAAACGGAGGACACCACAATGTTTTCTAGTTGAATTTTTATTTGGCAGCCCTCATTTGCCTTGGTTGCTTGGATCCTGGAATAGAGAGAACAAAAGCAACAAAGATAAAAACGCTGTACGGCAGTTATGGTTACTGTGTGCACTGAAATACTCACTTCTCTTTCTAGTTTCTGGATTTCCAGGTCCAGTTTCCTGAGTGTCCGACGTTTAATTTCAAGATCCAGCTCCATTTCTTGGAGCTTTCTCTTCTTCAGTTTTATTTTAACATCTGCCAGCTCTATCTGTCTCTCCAGGTGCTTCGCATAAAGCCTTCTGACAGTTTGTGAAGTCTGTAAAAGAAATGTCAAATAAGCAAAGCAGGATTTGTGCATAATATAGATTTACTTTGGCCAATACTCACAATGTTACCGGGCTGCTTAGGAGACTGTGCATCATCTGTGTCCTGTTACACATATTTTCTATTAGCACCACATCACAGACTTCATATCCTTTATGGACAAGAAGGATATTTCCATAAAATTGACATACCTCAAGCCTTCTGGAGTCCAGTGACACAGTCTCCTCATCTGCAGAAGTGCATTCTGCAGCTGCAGATGTGCCTTCCCCCTGCCATATACATACATACATACATACATACATACATTTGAGAGAACTTGAATTAAGATTTCACAGGACATACCAAGCCTGTGATTTCAATACAATGTACTAACCGGATCATCTTCTGGTGGCTCCAAAAGTGTAAGCGTGTTCCCAGACACTGCAAGGAAATCTAAAGTCAGACAGTATAATAGATTTATTTGATTGTGGTCTGTAGTACGGCAATATGTACCTTGTATGAAGCGGACAGTTTCTGTGGCTGGGATAGAGTCCGTTACTGTCCCTCCCTGGATTCCCTCCATCACTGGCCTCCCTTTATTTAAATGGAGTGCCAGCTCCTCCGCCGGGTCATATCCTGGCTTGGTGGGCCGCCCCCTGTGCCAGTTCTATGGTCTTTTTTTTTAACTGCTACAATCATACAGACATTCAACATGTCAGCAGACATCTTATCTATTCACCTCATTTGTTCACTGTTATCTACTTTATAGTCACTTACCAGCCTGCAAAATGTTCTTGTATTTAACTTTAACTTGCTGCCAGGTCCTTTTATGGCCAGACAAGTTTGTTCTTTATGAAGGATAGAAAGATAAAATAGATAAAAATAGATTAAATGACACACATTGTGGATAATTGTTTGCACTTAATCATACTCTACATTTAAGTAACATGCACCGCTAATTGCCACACAAGCAAAGTGTACAACAGTTGATTAGTGGACTTAAAGTAACTCCTTTAGTCCTTCAATTGGAGCCTAATTATGACAGTTCCAGTGGAGCACTGTTTATTCATTGTACAGTTTTGGACTACTTACGCATTAAGCCGGTCCGCTATTGTCTGCCAGGCTTTCTCTCTTTCTTTAATTATGGCACTGGTATTGCCTTTTTTCTTATGGTATCTTTCACCTCTTCATAGAACTCCATCAGGAGATGTTGTTCAGCGGGCGTGAAATACGAAGCGCGTGTTTTATCCATGTTCCGATCGGTGTTTCTGTGAGCGATCGCGAGGTCTATTTAAGTATGCCGTGAACCCGCACTTATCCCGACTATCTACACCTGGCTTAACATAGCCGCACCTTTTCATCCTGGCTCGACAAACGTGCAACCGATTAAGCCAGGATGAGCCGAGCACGCTAAGTCAAGCCGCGCTTGCTCACTTATCCTGGATTTCTTTATCCTACTTTTTGTGCAATACCCCACTAGTGTGTCTAACATAAAATAAATCTACAGGTATCAGGTGTGTGTCAGTTACCCCCTACCTGGATCCCTGCCCAATTTCCTTACCACAGTTCAGATTAAGGCAACACAGGAGACACTAGAATCGTACACTTAAACTAAGGCTCTTACAGAAGTTAACACATTTACAACAGTAGAGCACAATACACACAGGCGAGTTGATCAAGGGCACAATCACAACTCCTGTTCAACAGGTAGGCAGCTATTTAAATAGAAGAAGGCGGTAGATGATTGGAGGGACTGCCAGGCGCCGCACCAATCAGATCATCGGCTGGAACCAGGAAGTAGGCAGGTCTCGCCCCAGCCAATCCTCGGCAAGGGGTCACACATCCTGTTTAACATGACACAGCTGCACAACACAGCTACACATCTCCAGATACTGGAGGTGGCCGTAACAGAGAGCCACAATTCTTTCAATTTCAATTTTCAATTTTATTTGTATACCGCCAATTCATAACAGAAGTTATCTCAGGACACTTTTCAAATAGAGCAGGTCTAGACTGAACTCTTTAAAACATTAATTACAGAGACCCAACAGTACCACCATGAGCAAGCACTTGGCGACAAGGGCAAGGAAAAACTGCCTGTTAAAAGGCAGAAACCTAGGACAGATCCTCCGGCTCTAGGTGGGTGGTCGTCTGTCTCGACCAGTTGGGGTAGAGAGAGAGAGAGAGAGAGAGAGAGAGACAGACAGACAGACAGGTGCACAGCAACAACAGTATTGGCAATGGCAATGTAGCAGGACCATGGCAGGAGGCTCCACCAGGATCGACAAGAACCTGCGAGACGAGAAAGCACAAGAACTCCAGGGAAGAAGTGAAGTTAGTAACATGCATAAATGGGACATGAATGAGTGTAGAAAGAGAGAGGAAGGGAGGAGCTCAGTGCACCATGGGAAATCCCCCGATAGTCTAGGCCTATAGCAGCATAACAAAGGGATGGTTCAGGACTCACCTGATCCAGCCCTAACTATAAGCTTTATCAAAGAGGAATGTCTTAAGCCTACTCTTGAATGTGGTGAGGGTGTCTGCCTCCCGAACCACAACTGGAAGCTGGTTCCACAGGAGAGGAGCTTGGTAACTGAAGGCTCTGGCTCCTGTTCTACTTTTTAGAGACTATAGGAACCACAAGTAGCCCAGCATTCAGAGAACGTAGTGTTCTAGAGGGGTAATAGGGTACTATGAGCTCTTTAAGATATGAAGGGGCCTGACCATGAAGAGCTTTATAGGTGAGGAGGAGGATTTTAAATTCAATTCTACATTTTACAGGGAGCCAATGCAGAGAAGCTAGTACAGGAGAGATGTGATCTCTTTTTCTAGTTCCTGTCAGTACTCGTGCTGCAGCGTTCTGAATTAATTGGAGCGTTTTAATGGACTTATTGGGGCAACCTGATAATAAAGGGTTGCAGTAATCCAGCCTTGAAGTAACAAATGCATGGATTAGTTTTTCTGCATCTGTCTGTGATAGTATGTGTCTAATTTTTGTAATATTACGTAAATGAAAGAAGGCAGTCCTAGAGGTCTGCTTTATGTGGGAGTTAAATGACAAATCCTGATCAAAGATAACTCAGAGATTCCTGACAGTGGTGCTAGAGGCCAAGTTAATGCCATCTAGAGTAACTATATCTTTAGACAGTGAGTCTCTAAGGTTTTTGGGGCCAAGAACAAGAATTTAGTTTTTTTCTGAGTTTAACATCAGAAAATTGCAGGTCATCCAGGATTTTATGTCCTTAAGACATGTTTGTAATTTAGATAATTGATTAATTTCATTGGGCTTGATTGATAGATATAACTGCGTATCATCTGCATAACAGTGAAAGTTAATGGAGTGATTCCTAATAATGTTGCCTAAAGGGAGCATATATAAAGTAAATAGTATTGGTCCAAGTACAGAACCTTGTGGAACTCCATGACTAACTGTAGTATTTATTGAAGATTCATCGTTAACATGTACAAACTGCGAGCGATCTGATAAATATGACTTAAACCAGCTTAGTGCGGTTCCTTTAATGCCAATTTGATACTCGAGTCTCTGTAAAAGAATATTATGGTCAATGGTGTCAAATGCAGCACTAAGATCTAATAATACAAGTACAGAGACAAGTCCATTGTCAGAAGCAGTCAGAAGGTCATTATTAACTTTAACCAGAGCTGTCTCTGTGCTATGATGAACTCTAAATCCTGACTGAAAATCCTCAAATAAACTATTGTTATGTAGAAAGTCACACAACTCTTTGGCGACTACTTTCTCCAGAATCTTAGAGAGGAAGGGGAGGTTAGAAATCGGTCTATAGTTGGCTAAAACCCCTGGGTCAAGAGTGGACTTTTTAAGAAGGGGTTTAATTACAGCTACTTTAAAGGACTGTGGTACATATCCTGATAATAAAGAAAGATTAATCATATCCAGTAAAGAAGTGCCAATTAAGGGAACAACTTCTTTAAGCAGCCTAGTTGGGATCGGGTCTAATAGACAGGTTGATGGCTTCGATGAAGAAATGATTGAAGTTAACTGATGAAGATCGATAGCAGAAAAACAGTCTAAATATATATCTAAGTTTACATTAGTAAAAATCCCTGAACTTGGAGAGCCACTGATAACTGTTGATGGCAGTTGGTGATTAATTTTTCCTCTAATAGTAATAATTTTATTATAGAAGAAGCTCATGAAGTCATTGCTACTTAAGTTTATGGGGATATGTGGCTCAATAGAGCTGTGACTCTCTGTCAGCCTGGCTACAGTGCTGAAGAGGAACCTAGGGTTATTCTTATTTTCTTCTATAAGTGCTGAGTAATAGGCTCCTCTGGCATTACGGAGGGCCTTTCTATAAATTTTAAGATTATCTTGCCAATTTGAGCGATATTCTTATAATTTGGAAGAACGCCATTTCCTTTCAGATTTCCTAGCTATTTGTTTTAACTGGCGGGTTTGGTGGTTATACCAAGGTGCTAGTCTCCTATGTTTTAATAATTTCCTTTTTATAGGAGCGATAGAGTCTAATGTTGATCGTAGTGAGCCTGTAGCACTATCGACAAGATTATCAATTTCAGAGGGACTAAAGTCGTTATAGGATTCTGTTAAATTCAGACATGGCATTGAATTAAACACTGAAGGAATCTCCTCCTTAAATTTAGCTACAGCACTGTCAGACAGACATCTGCTGTAGGAAGTTTTGCCTAATGGCTTATAATCTAACAACATGAATTCAAAAGTTATTAAATAATGGTCAGATAGGAAAGGATTATGTGGGAAGACTATTAAATGTTCAATATCAATGCCATATGATAGAACAAGGTCAAGAGTGTGATTAAAACAATGAGTTGGTTTATTTACACTCTGACAGAAGCCAATTGAGTCTATTAATGATATAAATGCATTACTAAGGCTGTCATTGTCAACATCCACATGAATATTAAAATCACCTACAATAATTACTTTATCTGATTTAAGGACTAAACTTGATAGAAACTCTGAGAATTCAGATATAAAAAAAATCAGAGTACGGTCCAGGAGCGCGGTACACTATAACAAATAGAACTGGCTGCAATGTTTTCCAGTTTGGGTGAGAAAGACTAAGAACAAGGCTTTCAAATGAATTATAATTTAGTTTAGGTTTAGGGTCCATTAAAACGCTCGAATCATATATGGCTGCCACTCCACCTCCTCGGCCTGTGCCTCGAGGAATGTGAGTATTAATATCTTTACAAGCTTGATCTGTGCGCTTATGATGAATGGAAGACGGCCTTCAACACCCCTAGTGAGCAATATGAGAATCTAGTATTGCCATTTTTGCCAGCATTCACAGTTGTACCTGTTGTTTTCTTTGCCCGGTTTCTCAATGGATCCTACCCAGGTGAAAGCCATGGTTAACTGACCTCAATGAACATCAGTTAAACTGCTCCAATGCAGGAAAGGGCTGCATGCACACCTATACACAACACATTATGGCCTTATAAAGTTGCTATGGTGAACATATCAGAGATGTCTTGTTCACACATGCAGCAGGCACACAGTATTTATTTTAATTCCAAATTAGATTAGCATTCCATATTTCACTTAGCATTGAGTATTTAGTCACCGTAATATTGACAAGTGTGATGTGGCTGAAACTCCATATTTAAGATTATCATAAAGAAGACCTGTTTCTACCTCAAAACTGCATTTAGAGTTATGTTATCTTGCCTGCAGTCACAGGTGACAGTGTGAGTCCCAACCAATTTTCAGGGAAGCTGAAACACCCAACAACATTTCGGCCAGTTGAAATTAGTATTTTAGTACAGTATTCTGGGTGCTGCTTGCAAGCTACAAATACTCTTTCCCATTCTATTTTTGATCTCTACAGGTATTTAAATGTACTTATTTAACATTTGCTCTGTGCTTGTAAGCATTTTAAAGTGAGCATTGAAATGTACTTGTGGTGACTGATTCTAAATGTACTGTTTTATTAAGGGTCATAGTATGATCTTTTTTATTTACTCTGATTTTTTACAATTAATTTCAAAATGACGATAAGAGTTTTGTCATTCATTCATACTGATCTGTGCTTGGTTGTAATATGTTGTTTTTGGGAGATGCTAGAACCATTAATTTAGTTTCACTGATAGTTGATCATCCCAGGAAATAAGGAGAAATTACTGGTTGCATATCACTAATACTGTCCATTAAATTGCGCTTTGCTCATTTTTGTAATTTTTACACATGTAATGTGATAAGTTTATAAACCACACTCAATTAATTGCAAACAATTATGTTGTTTTTCCACAGAGCAGAGATAGTCATCCTTGCTCTAAACATTTATTTTTCGATTAAACAGAAATCTTTTACAGGATTGTCTTATCTTCGGTAGGTTATATCCATACATAAAGGGGGTGACCATTGGTTGGCAAATGAGGAGATAGACAGATAAAATAATGCGTACTTTGTCTGGTACATGAGCAACATGAAACCTGGAATCAACAAAGTGAAAAATGCCGCCGACAAACATGTTTGATAGAGAGAAAATCTGAGGTGTGCAGGTGGAAATGGCTTTTTGCTTGTTTTCTTTAGAAGTATTCAGACAAACAGCCAAAATCTTCATATACGAGACTGAAATGAAACTAACAGAGATAACAATAGTAAAAAAGGCAAAAAGCAGGTCAGATGATTTGTTCAGTACTGAAGCTGAACATGCAAGTTTAATCACTAAGTGGTGATCACAAAACACTTTGTCAATGACATTTCCACAAAACTTCAAATGGATGACGAATGAAAATGAGAATATAAAATTAACAAATGAATACATCCATACAAACAGAATGATCATACCGACTCTCCCTGTGTTCATAATGACACTGTAGTGTAAAGGATAACAGATAGCGACATATCTGTCGTAGGCCATGGCTGCTAAACTGCAAAACTCAACTGAAGCACATGTATAGATATAACACATCTGTAGAAAACACCATAACAGGGTCACTTCATGGGTATCTGAAAACATCTGTGAGAGCATAAGAGGATACAGTGATGTGCTGCCACCGATTTCATTCACAAATAAATTACATAGTAATATGTACATTGGCTCATGCAACCTTTTGTCCACATATATGACTATAATAAGAACTGTGTTGGCCACACATATTGAGAGGTACCATAACAGCATTATACTGAAATACAGGTATTTTAACTCTCCAATATTACCATAGGCTGCCAGCACAAAAGACACAATCTCAGTTGAGTTCTCCATTTCTTCTTTTGTAAGCAGCAAAACTAGCTCAGTAATAGTGCTGATTATTATCCCTTTGAATAATTCCTCAGCCCAATATTCAGCCAGAAAGTTATTTCCCCAACAACTGAGCAAAATCTCACAACACTAATATCTGAATAACAGTTTGCAAAAACAGTGTGTCTCACCACACTGGTCAAAATAACAAAGGTAAATGGATTATGGTCATAACATCATTTAGTTGGATAATGGATTATTATGCAAACAACTGTTCAAGAGCATTTTAAAAGCTTGTGAAATCTAGTTCTTCTTTTCAGCACATTTTATAACTTAACTGTCTTTTCAGTCACCTGTGACAAAGAAGAAAGTAGATATCAGTAATCAAAGAACAGCATTAAACACACAGTATAGAACATAAATCAAATTTCATATTTACACATCCAAGATCACTTGTATCTCACAGATATCAATATCTCCAGATGGCTGCTGCTGCCCTCCCATGTGAAGAAGACAAACGCCTCCTCTGAGCTTTATACACTTCTTGGTGGGTTGGGCTGCGCTAGAGAGTCAATCTGCTTATACCAGTAAAAAAACCTTTCTCTAAAAAAACAAAAACATTACATTATTGTCTGGATTACAATATGAGTTTACTTTTGGAGAATCTTTCCCTTTTCAGTCTTCCAATCAACCAAGTGTGCAGATGTGCATTATTTTTGCAACTTCAAGACTAAAATGATATAATCAACACATCAGAGGTTATTGACAAAGGAAAGAGATTCAGAGGGAAGTTTAGAGCACTTCCACTGGACCACTTTTGATAGGTACTGATGACTGCAGACCAGGAGCACCCCACAAGAGCTGCAGTTCTGGAGATGCTCTGACCCACTCGTCTAGACATCACAATTTGGCCCTTGTCAAAGTTGCTCAAATTCTTATGCTGCCCATTTTTTGTGCTTCTAACACATCAACTTTGAGGGCAATATGTTTACCACCTAGGCACCCTGGTGGTCACAATGTTATGGCTGATCGGTGTATATCCCATGTCACAGGGATTCCTGAAATCTTCCCTGGCTCTCGTCAAATGGAAAACCAGATTTGTGTTCAAACCAAATGTCACACTGAGGTATGGACTGCAATGCCTGATGGGGTTTTGGCATCTTGTCTGAGTCTTTTATTGCTACATTTTGGCCTTTCTTTGTTTACCCTCCTAGTGAGCAATATGGGTATCTCGTAATGCCTTTTGGACTTTGTTTTTGACTCCCTTGATCATTTTTATTTTTGCCAGTGTCCCCAGTTGTACGTGTTCTCTTTGTTTTCATTGCTCAGTGTCTGAATGGATCCCACCAAGGTGAAAGCTGTTGAAAGTGGGTGGCTGACCTCAATCAACTTCAGTTAAACTGCTCCAATGATTTATCACAGCTTATTTTGGGCTTCAGTTTGGTGACAGCTCCTCTTAAAGCTCTTACGAACTGTTGAGGGGGCGATTCACTTCTGCCTCAGTTCTTGTGAATTCGCTCTACCTTTTATCGTGGAGGCTGATGCCTCTGAGATTGTTGGTGCAATCACTTTGGAGATCGAATCAGCAGTTAAGAAACTGGTCCTAGAAGTGTGTCTGTTCCCATTTCTGTCAGGTCATGTCTTAAGTGTGGATATTCATCTGATCTCACCTGCCATCCTGGACACACCCATGAATTCCTGCTTAGACCTTTTTGGTGGCCCACCACGGAGGTAGACTTGCATTACTCGTTCCTTAAAGAATAAGACCACCATACAAGAGGGGCCATTTTACTTCCTTAACCAGCATGCCCTCTTCCGAGGACACTGCTGAGCTTCTGGTCCAACATATTTTTCAACTACCAAGGACATTGTGTCAGACCGGGGATCCCAGTTCAGTGCTCATTTCTGGAGGTTGTTCAGCTCCCTCCCTAGGTTCTACTGCCAGTCTGTCTTCAGGTTTCTACCTGCAGATCAACCGTCTGATGGAGCATTCTAAGGAGGATTTGGAGACCAGCCTGCGTTGTCTCGTCTCCCCTAACCCCTCCTCTTGGAGTCAGCAGTTGACCCAAGTGATGTGCTCTCATAATTCCTTGCCTTGTTCTGCCACAGGTCTCCTTTTGAAGACGTCTTCAGTTACAAGCCAGCTCTTTTACTGTGTCAGGAGAAGGAGGTTAGTGTTCCATCTGCCCATTAATTCAACAACCACTGTTACCAAACCTGGAGAAGAGCACATTACAACCTGTTTTGCAATCCAGCTCCCCGTTACCAGTTTGCCACCATTTCAACTGTAGGAAAAGGTTGTGTGCGCATGTACAAACACACACTATGGCCTTATAAAGTTGCTATGGTGAACATGTCAGAGATGTCTTGTTCATACATGCAGCAGACACACAGTATTTATTTTAATTCCAAAATGCAATTATTGTGGCTTATGGTCTATCGGATAGAAACTATTAACATTACACATTTCACTCTCTTAGTATTGAGTATTGAGTCACCATAATATTGACTTTATATTAGATAAGATTAGATTAGATTAGATTAGATTAGATTCAACTTTATTGTCATTGCACAAGTACAGGTACTAGGCAACGATATCCAAAACGAGTGTGGTGTGGCTGAAACGTTATGTTTTAGATTATCAAGAGAGAAGGCCTTTCACTGGTTTCTACCTCAGAACTGGATTTAGACCTATGATTGCTGATCCAACCAGAGGTTTATAAAAGCATGCAAAACTCTAGTGAAAGTTCATGCCTGCAGTTATAGATTTCAGCGCAACTCACCACCAACTTTCAGGAAAGCAGAATTATACCCAACATTGTGGCCTGTGGAGATCAGAGTTTCAGTCCAATACTCTGGGTGCTGCTGAAAACTACAAATACTTTTTCCTGTACTATTTTTTATCTCTACAAGTAAATAAATGTTCTTATACAGCAGCTGTCTGTAGGCCTTTTTGCGTGGGCATTTTATTTTGCTAAAATAAATAATAAAAATGTATTAGTTGCTTCCCCAATCATTGTTAATGACAAAACAGTTTTCGGGGTGGATAAACGTTTTCGGCTTCTGAAGGGGGGCATGACAGAAAAAGTTTTAAAGGCAAAGCATGTTACAATAGGTATTCTTCTCATTTATTCTTTCTTATAATGAATTTAAATGTTAGTCTGATAATATTGTCATTCATTCAGTTTGGTTTGTGCTTGGGTGTAATATTTTTTTTAGATTCTAGGACAAACTTTAGTTTTACTAGAGTTGATCATCCCAGGAAATAAAGAGAAATTAGCGGTTGTATATCACTAATGCAGTCCATTTAGTCTTGACAACTTGATTAGTAAAAGAAAACCACATCACTTAACACATTTTTCACACATTATATAAATGTAAGATGTGTGCAACTTTCAAGATAATCTTTTGTCTATAAATTTAAACCACACTGGAGACAAACATAATGTTGTTTTTCCACAGAGCAGAGATAGTCATCCTTGCTCTAAACATTTATATTTCGATTAAACAGAAATCTTTTACAGGATTGTTTTATCTTCGGTAGGTTATATCCATACATAAAGGGGGTGACCATTGGTTGGCAAATGAGGAGATACACAGATAAAATAATGCGTACTTTGTCTGGTACATGAGCAACATCAAACCTGGAATCAACAAAGTGAAAAATGCAGCCAACAAATAAATTTGACACTGAGACAATCTGAGGTGTGCAGGTGGAGACGGCTTTTTGTTTGTTTTCTTTAGAAGTATTCAGACAAACAGCCAAAATCTTCATATAAGAGACTGAAATTAGACTAACAGGGATAACAATGGTCACAAAGGCAAAAAGGAGGTCAGATATTTTGTGTACTACTGAAGCTGAACATGCAAGTTTAATCACTAAGTGGTGATCACAGAACACTTTGTCAATGACATTTCCACAAAACTTCAAATGGATGACGAATGAAAATGAGAATACAAAATTAACAAATGAATACATCCATACAAACAGAATGATCATACCGACTCTCCCCGTATTCATAATGACACTGTAGTGTAAAGGATAACAGATAGCGACATATCTGTCGTAAGCCATGGCTGCTAAACTGCAAAACTCAACTGACGTACTTATGTAGATATAACACATATGTAGAAAACACCATGGCAGGGTCACTTCATGGGTATCTGAAAACATCTGTGAGAGCATAAGAGGATACAGTGATGTGCTGCCACCGATTTCATTCACAAATAAATTACATAGTAATATGTACATTGGCTCATGCAACCTTTTGTCCACATATATGACTATAATAAGAACTGTGTTGGCCACACATATTGAGAGGTACCATAACAGCATTATACTGAAATACAGGTATTTTAACTCTCCAATATTACCATAGGCTGCCAGCACAAAAGACACAATCTCAGTTGAGTTCTCCATTTCTTTCTTTTGTTAGCAGCAAAACTAGCTCAGTAATAGTGCTGATTATTATCCCTTTGAATAATTCCTCAGCACAATATTCAACCAGAAAGTTATTTTCCCAACAACTGAGCAAAATCTCAAAACACTAATCTCTGCATACCAGTTTGCAGCAGCAGTGTGTCTCACCACACTGTTTAAAATAACAAAGCTAAAACAACGCTTATGGTCATAACATCACTTAGTTGGATAATGGATTATTATGCAGCCAACTATTCTAGTGCTTTTTAAAAAATCTTCTTCTCAGCACATTCAATAAGTATATTTTCAGTTATCTGTGACAAAATATCAGGATGTAGATATCAGCAACCAAAAAACAACATTAAGCATACAGTATAGAACATTTAATTTAAATGAATATTTTACACATATATAATCCAAGATCACAGGAATGAATACCTCCAGATGGCTGCTGCTGCCCTCCTAACTGAACAAGAGTAAAGCCTCCTCTGAACTTTATACACTTCTTGTAAAAAGAGGTGGGTTGGGCTGCGCTAGAGAGTCAAGCTGCTAATACTCACCAAAACAACTTTTCTTTAAAGAAAAGAAACATTTACAATATCATTTTATCTTTTTATTACCATAAAATATTCAAGGTCCTGCTGATTACTGTACAAATGCACACAGCTTTTTATAACTGAACTGACTGATTTTAGTGAAATTGGAAAAAATATTTCTGTCTGCCCTCTAATGTCCTCGGACTGCTCCACTTCAACTTTCAGTGAATAACGAAGTTTCCTGATGGAAATATAGCCATAGCTACTTGTTGTTAGCAGTTGAATGTTGCTACTCTCTCTCTTTATCTGAATAATGCTGTCCGTAATACTATTTGGGCTGGGCATATTATTTATGCTTGACATAGCCTAATAGTATTAATAATCAAAATCAAAAGCATTTTGTCACTATAATGTTTTTAGATTCACAAAAATCACAGATGTATGCAAGATAAGTGTATGTTTAATTGGTGTGGTTAACTGGACTTTTATTGTGACGGGTCACTTCCGGTCACCTTATCAACCTGATACGACTTAATGACGTGCGCTGTCCAGGTCACAAAACTCGTGGGCATCCATTGTTCACTCTCTTTCCACTGTTAACTGTTGGTTAACTCTGGTTCTTGTTGGTGATATCAATAAACAGTGCAGCTCAGATGTGGATCTTAAAGTCACCTTGCCAATGATCAGTTTTGCCCTGCAAAGATTGGCAAATGAGAATCCTGTGGTAAAATTGTTAATTTCTCCTGAGTGTGCAAATCATCTACCTATCTATCAGTGAATGAAGTGGATTTACCACAGGTGACTCTTCTATATGTTGGCAGGAAGTCAGCTGGAGGGAAACTAATGGGAAACACTGATATACTAGTTGACATAGGCTCTGGTGCTTCAATAATTCTGAAATTAGTGTACTTGCTTGCATGCTTCAAGACAAGCAAACTAGGTCTACATCTGTACAACTGCTAACATTCTCAAAACATAAGCTGTGAGTTCTTGGACACCTTAACGCCACTGGATATCCCGTATTGTTGTCACAGAATCAGAATCAGAAATACTTTATTGATCCCCGGGGGGAACAATTTGTTTGTTACAGTTGTTCAACTCATACATGGTAAAGAGGAGAAATAACACATATATTTCAATACCAGTAGTAGGAAACCAAACAAGGCAGTGGTCCCTTACCACTGATTGAAGACTTACTGTCAGAACTCTGTGGATCTAGAATGTATCCCACTTTGGACCTGAAAAGTAGCTACCACCAACTGGAACTGCCCAAGGAGAGCAGAGGGCTTACTGCCTTCATCACACCTAAGGGTTTGTACCGGTACTGCAGAGTACTTTATGGATTAAGCTCTGCCCCTGGTGCATTTCAGAAAATGATGACAAAAATTCTTTGTGGGCTACAAGGTGTACAGAGTTACCTTGATGATGTCGTCATGTTTAGACCCTCACAAGCTGTCTATTGCAGTAACCTGAAGACTGTTCTGCGCTGCATCCAGGATGCAGGTCTCTTCCATCAGGCAACACTGAACTTTCTTGGCTACAAATTTTCACCTGAAGGCTTGGAGCCAAATGATGCCCATGTTACAACAGTCCTGAATGCCCCTGCACCTGCGCATGCTGCTTCCCTACACTCATTCCTGGGCCTTAGTGCATGGTACAGCAGGTTTGTGAATGATTATGCCAGCGTGGTGGAACCTACACTGCATTCAACTGGAATGAGGCAGCACGAAGGAGCTTTCAAACGAGTCAAGAAAAGGGTTGTCAACAGCCCTGTACTGACACAGTTCGATCCAAATAAGATCACAGCGGTCTGGACTGATACCTCTGATTATGGACTTGAAGCTGTTTTGACACAAGTGAACAACGCTGGCAAAGAAGACACAGTTGCATTTGTATCTCGCAGTTTATCGGATGCAGAGAGAAAATACTCCATCATGGAATAAGAGGCTTTAGCATGAGTCTGGGCTGCTGAAAATTGTTGTGTGTGGCTCTGGGGAAGAAAATTCCTATTGTGCACAGATCACCAAGCACTGACAACACTTGTGACTACCACAGGGAGTTTGGACTTTGTAAAGCCAAGTGGTCTGCGCGTCTCATGGAGTTTGACTATGATGTTCAGTACAGACCAGGATCAGTGAATAGTGTTGCTCACTGCGTATCCAGGCTGCCACTCCCTGGAACTGGCATGGAGTATGTAGAGACTTTTGATGAACTGGCACCTATGGATAACTGTATCGTCATAGGTACTTACTGCCTTGTGGTACCAGAGTCAATGCAGAAAAGACTCGCAGACATTGCGCACGAGACCCATCAGAGTTCATGGTTTTTTTGTCAAAGAGCAATTGCACACCTAAATCCTCCGTTTAATATCCCCATGCTAATGTAGAGGTTCAACAGGGTGCTGAAAGATGGTCTGCAGATTTCGTGAATACGGGTACACCCTGCAAGCCATTCACAAGGTTCTTATGGATTATAGAGCAACTCCTCAATCCACCACTGAAATAAGCCCATCACAACTAGTCCATGGAAGGCAAATGAGAGCAAAACAACAAAACAAGGATATAGGCCCTGCTCCAGAAAATTAAGATGCTGTTAGATAATGAGTAAAAGAGAAGCAAAACAAATTAAAGCAGTACACAGATATGAAGAGAAGTACAAAACAATGTGCTTCCAACCTGGTGACCAAGTGCGGATCAGGAAGCCATGTGGAGTCAAGAAAGAAGAACAAAATGTCCTACAACCCAGGCTTGTGGTGGGGAAGACCAATAAATGGTGCTGCTGTGTTTACCATAGAACCTACAAGGGCTTTCAATGTATTTCTATGGTAGTTATGATCTATGACCTAACCTTCAGAGCTTTCTCAAAGCATGCAACATGCCTAGTGAAAGTTTAAGCCAGTCCCCACCAACTTTCAGGAAAGGTGAAATAAACCCACCAACACTTCGGCCTGTGGAGATCAATGTTTCAGTTCAGGATTTTGGTTGCTGCTGCAGGCTACAAATACTTTCTCCCATACTATTTTTGATCTCCACAAGTAAATACATCTACTTATTTGACTTTTGGCTTTGTAATTGTAACCCTTTTCTGAACAATACCTTTTATACCATTTTTGTAATTTTTGCATTTTGTATGAATATAAGATGCATTTGTGCACATTTCAAGATACTTTTATGTCTAAAGTTTTTAAAACACACACTGGAGACAAATATAATGTTTAACCACAGAGCAGACATAACAGAGTTATCCTTGTTCTAAACGTTTATTTTTGATCAAACAGAAATCTTTTACAGGATTGTCTTATCTTTGGTAAATTAAATCCATACATAAAGGGGGTGATCATTGGTTGGCAAATGAAGATATACACAGATAAAATAATGCGTATTTTGTCTGGTACATGAGCAACATCAAACCTGGAATCAACAAAGTGATAAATGCCACCGACAAACATGTTTGATAGAGAGACAATCTGAGGTGTGCAGGTGGAGACGGCTTTTTGTTTGTTTTCTTTAGAAGTATTCAGACAAACAGCCAAAATCTTCATGTAAGACACTAAAATGAAACTAACTGGGATAACAATAGTCACAAAGGCAAACAGCAGGTCAGATATTTTGTTCAGTACTGAAGCTGAACATGCAAGTTTAATCACTAAGTGGTGATCACAGAACACTTTGTCAATGACATTTCCACAAAACTTCAAATAGATGACGAATGAAAATGAGAATATAAAATTAACAAATGAATACATCCATACAAACAGAATGATCATACCGACTCTCCCTGTGTTCATAATGACACTGTAGTGTAAAGGATAACAGATAGCGACATATCTGTCGTAGGCCATGGCTGCTAAACTGCAAAATTCAATAGAGGCACTTATGTAGATATAACACATCTGCAGAAAACACCATGGCAGGGTCACTTCATGGGTATCTGAAAACATCTGTGAGAGCATAAGAGGATACAGTGATGTGCTGCCATTGATTTCATTCACAAATAAATTACATAGTAATATGTACATTGGCTCATGCAACCTTTTGTCCACATATATAACTATAATAAGAACTGTGTTGGCCACACATATTGAGAGGTACCATAACAGCATTATGCTGAAATAGAGATATTTTAACTCTCCAATATTACCATAGGCTGCCAGCACAAAAGACACAATCTCAGTTGAGTTCTCCATTTCTTCTTTTGTTAGCAGCAAAACTAGCTCAGTAATAGTGCTGATTATTATCCCTTTGAATAATTCCTCAGCACAATATTCAACCAGAAAGTTATTTTCCCAACAACTGAGCAAAATCTCACAACACTAATATCTGCATACCAGTTTGCAAAAACAGTGTGTCTCACCACACTGGTATAAATAACAAAGGTAAATGGATTATGGTCATAACATCATTTAGTTGGATAATGGATTATTATGAAAACAACTGTTCAAGAGCATTTTAAAAGCTTGTGAAATCTAGTTCTTCTTTTCAGCACATTTTATAACTTAACTGTCTTTTCAGTCACTTGTGACAAAGAAGAAAGCAGATATCAGTAATCAAAGAACAACATTAAACACACAGTATAGAACATAAATTAAATTTCATATTTACACATCCAAGATCACTTGTATCTCACAGATATCAATATCTCCAGGTGGCTGCTGCTGCCCTCCCATGTGAAGAAGACAAACGCCTCCTCTGAACTTTATACACTTCTTGGTGGGTTGGGCTGCGCTAGAGAGTCAATCTGCTTATACCAGTAAAAAAACATTCTCTAAAAAACCAAAAACATTACATTATTGTCTGGATTACAATATGAGTTTACTTTTGGAGAATCTTTCCCTTTTCAGTCTTCCAATCAGCCAAGTGTGCAGATGTGCATCATTTTTGCAACTTCAAGACTAAAATGATATAATCAACACATCAGAGGTTGTTGACAAAGGAAAGAGATTCAGAGGGAAGTTTAGAGCACTTCCACTGGACCACTTTTGATAGGTACTGACGACTGCAGACCAGGAACACCCCACAAGAGCTGCAGTTCTGGAGACGCTCTGACCCACTCGTCTAGACATCACAATTTGGCCCTTGTCAAAGTTGCTCAAATTCTTATGCTGCCCATTTTTTGTGCTTCTAACACATCAACTTTGAGGGCAATATGTTTACCACCTAGGCACCCTGGTGGTCATAATGTTATGGCTGATCGGTGTATATCCCATGTCACAGGGATTCCTGAAATTTTCCCTGGCTCTCGTCAAATGGAAAACCAGATTTGTGTTCAAACCAAATGTCACACTGAGGTATGGACTGCAATGCCTGATGGGGTTTTGGCATCTTGTCTGAGTCTTTTATTGCTACATTTTGTCCTTTCTTTGTTTACCCTCCTAGTGAGCAATATGGGTATCTCGTAATGCCTTTTGGACTTTGTTTTTAACTACCTTGATCATTTTTATTTTTGCCAGTGTCCCCAGTTGTACGTGTTCTCTTTGTTTTCATTGCTCAGTGTCTGAATGGATCCCACCAAGGTGAAAGCTGTTGAAAGTGGGTGGCTGACCTCAATCAACTTCAGTTAAACTGCTCCAATGATTTATCACAGCTTATTTGGGGCTTCAGTTTGGTGACAGCTCCTCTTAAAGCTCTTACGAACTGTTGAGGGGGCGATTCACTTCTGCCTCAGTTCTTGTGAATTCGCTCTACCTTTTATCGTGGAGGTTGATGCATCTGAGATTGTTGCTGCAATCACGTTGGAGATCGAATCAGCAGTTAAGAAACTGGTCCTAGAAGTGTGTCTGTTCCCATTTCTGTCAGGTCATGTCTTTAGTGTGGATATTCATCTGATCTCACCTGCCATCCTGGACACACCCATGAATTCCTGCTGAGACCTTTTTGGTGGCCCACCATGGAGGTAGACATGCATTACTCGTCCCTGAAAGAATAAGACCACCATACAAGAGGGGCCATTTTCCTTACTTAACCAGCATGCCCTCTTCTGAGGACACTGCTGAGCTTCTGGTCCAACATATTTTTCAACTACCAAGGACATTGTGTCAGAGTGGGGATCCCAGTTCGGTGCTCATTTCTGGAGGTTGTTCAGCTCCCTCCCTAGGTTCTACTGCCAGTCTGTCTTCAGGTTTCCACCTGCAGATCAACCGTCTGATGGAGCATGCTAAGGTGGATTTGGAGACCAGCCTGCGTTGTCTCATCTACCCCTAACCCCTCCTCTTGGAGTCAGCAGTTGACCCAGGTGACGTACTCTCATAATTCCTTGCCTTGTTCTGCCACAGGTCTCCTTTTGAAGACGTCTTCAGTTACAAGCCAGCTCTTTTACTGTGTCAGGAGAAGGAGGTTAGTGTTCCATCTGCCCATTAATTCAACAACCACTGTTACCAAACCTGGAGAAGAGCACATTACAACCTGTTTTGCAATCCAGCTCCCCGTTAACAGTTTGCCACCATTTCAACTGTAGGAAAAGGTTGTGTGCGCATGTACAAACACACACTATGGCCTTATAAAGTTGCTATGGTGAACATGTCAGAGATGTCTTGTTCATACATGCAGCAGACACACAGTATTTATTTTAATTCCAAAATGCAATTATTGTGGCTCATGGTCTATCAGATAGAAAGTATTAACATTACACATTTCACTCTCTTAGTATTGAGTATTTTGTCACCATAATATTGACTTTATATTAGATTAGATTAGATTAGATTAAATTCAACTTTATTGTCATTGCACAAGTACAGGTACTAGGCAACAAGACAAGACAAGTGTGGTGTGGCTGAAACGTTATGTTTTAGATTATCAAGAGAGAAGGCCTTTCACTGGTTTCTACCTCAGAACTGGATTTAGACCTATGATTGCTGATCCAACCAGAGGTTTATAAAAGCATGCAAAACTCTAGTGAAAGTTCATGCCTGCAGTTATAGATTTCAGCGCTACTCACCACCAACTTTCAGGAAAGCAGAATTATACCCAACATTGTGGCCTGTGGAGATCAGAGTTTCAGTCCAATACTCTGGGTGCTGCTGAAAACTACAAATACTTTTTCCTGTACTATTTTTTATCTCTACAAGTAAATAAATGTTCTTATACAGCAGCTGTCTGTAGGCCTTTTTGCGTGGGCATTTTATTTTGCTAAAATAAAATAAAATGTATTAGTTGCTTCCCCACTCATTGTTAATGACGAAACAGTTTTGGGGGTGGATAAAGGTTTTTGGCTTTTGAAGGGGGGCATGACAGAAAAAGTTTTAAAGGCAAAGCATGTTACAATAGGTATTCTTCTTATTTATTCTTTCTTATAATGAATTCAATTGTTAGTGTAATAATATTGTCATTCATTCATATTGGTTTGTGCTTGGGTGTAATATTTTTTTTAGATTCTAGGACAAACTTTAGTTTTACTAGAGTTGATCATCCCAGGAAATAAAGAGAAATTAGCGGTTGTATATCACTAATGTAGTCCATTAAAGTCTTGACAACTTGATTAGTAAAAGAAAACCACATCACTTAACACATTTTTCACACATTATATAAATGTAAGATGTGTGCAACTTTCAAGATAATCTTTTGTCTATAAATTTAAACCACACTGGAGACAAACATAATGTTGTTTTTCCACAGAGCAGAGATAGTCATCCTTGCTCTAAACATTTATATTTCGATTAAACAGAAATCTTTTACAGGATTGTTTTATCTTTGGTAGGCTATATCCATACATAAAGGGAGTGACCATTGGTTGGCAAATGAGGAGACACACAGATAAAATAATGCGTACTTTGTCTGGTACATGAGCAACATCAAACCTGGAATCAACAAAGTGAAAAACGCCGCCGACAAACATGTTTGATAGAGAGACAATCTGAGGTGTGCAGGTGGAGACGGCTTTTTGTTTGTTTTCTTTAGAAGTATTCAGACAAACAGCCAAAATCTTCATATAAGAGACTGAAATTAGACTAACTGGGATAACAATGGTCACAAAGGCAAAAATAAGGTCAGATATTTTGTGTACTACTGAAGCTGAACATGCAAGTTTAATCACTAAGTGGTGATCACAGAACACTTTGTCAATGACATTTCCACAAAACTTCAAATGGATGACAAATGAAAATGAGAATATAAAATTAACAAATGAATACATCCATACAAACAGAATGATCATACCAACTCTCCCTGTGTTCATAATGACACTGTAGTGTAAAGGATAACAGATAGCGACATATCTGTCGTAGGCCATGGCTGCTAAACTGCAAAATTCAACTGACGTACTTATGTAGATATAACACATCTGTAGAAAACACCATGGCAGGGTCACTTCATGGGTATCTGAAAACATCTGTGAGAGCATAAGAGGATACAGTGATGTGCTGCCACCGATTTCATTCACAAATAAATTACATAGTAATATGTACATTGGCTCATGCAACCTTTTGTCCACATATATGACTATAATAAGAACTGTGTTGGCCACACATATTGAGAGGTACCATAACAGCATTATACTGAAATAGAGATATTTTAACTCTCCAATATTACCATAGGCTGCCAGCACAAAAGACACAATCTCAGTTGAGTTCTCCATTTCTTTCTTTTGTTAGCAGCAAAACTAGCTCAGTAATAGTGCTGATTATTATCCCTTTGAATAATTCCTCAGCCCAATATTCAACCAACCTGGAGTTAGGCATGTGAACACATTGAAACTGTTTTCTTGACTGTTTTTAGAAATCACAAGAATCACAAAGAAACTTTATCAGTTTGAAATCTAGTTCCATCAGTTTTTCTATTTATTTTCCCAACATCTGAGCTAAATCTCTCGACACTAATCTCTGCATACAATATGTGTACACAACAGTGTGTCTCACTACACTGGTCAAAATCAGAAAGCTAAATGGATTATGGTCATAACATTACTTATATGGATAATGGATTATGATGCAGACAACTGTTCTTAATATAAAATATATAGAACAATATATAAATATAAAAATAGCTTGTGATGTCTGATTTTCCTCCTTCAGCACATCTGATATCTGTCTTTTCAGTCACCTGTAACAAAATGTCAGGATGTAGACATCAGTAATCAAACAACAAACATTTTTACATATGATCCGTGATCACTGGCATCTCACCGGATTGATAACCTCCAGGTGGCTGCTGCTGCCCTCCCAAATGAACAAGACAAAGGCCTCCTCTGAACTTTATACACTTCTTGTGTGATGGGTTGGGTGCACCATATGGCCAAACTCCTATTACAGAAAAAAAGTTTGATGTGTAAGGATGTTGACAAAGGAGAAAGATGTAGAGAGATTTAAGTTTTGTTGTTGAGTTTAAGGGGTACCCCAAACTTCCACCAGGCATGGCTTTATAATGTTGCGTCTGCGTCGCAGTTTGGCTCCATGATCTACACGTCTTTAAATGCCACAGAGAGTGTTTCAGATACGTACTGTCCTCTCAGCGTTGATGTTGGTTACTAGTGTATTTTTTCCATAAAAAGGAAAACGAAATGGTATGTTTCTCTGCTCAAAATCTCTTCTTGGCTGAGTCCTTGCTGCAGCGGCCCAGAGTTCGAATCTGACCTGTGGCCCTTTGCTGCGTGTCATCCCTTCTCTCTGCCCCTCTTTGCTGTTTGTCTTCAGCTGTCAGTATCATAAAGGCAAAAAAAGACACCCCCCTTAAAATATTCAGGAGTACAGTCTAGACCTTTGCTATTTAAAAAAAAGTGTCCTGAGATAACTTTTATTATGAATTGGCGCTATACAAATAAAATTTAACTAAAATTTAATTTAATTGAAATTTGATCTGGAATCTTCAAAATGTATCGGATTCTCCACACTGTTTCTGTGTCTGACGTCCTGCCAGGTAGATCTGCTCTGCGCTGCTTGACACAAGTATTCCACATGGAGCAGAGCGGCGAGACACAACGGGGGGAGAGGACAGTTTTGAAATACAGCAATAGTTGTTTAGGTCACTCTTTTCTCTTCTTATGTGCAAATATAAAACATGAGCCAATTTCCATACTAAAGGAATTGTCTCAGTTAAAAAGGTAATTTAAAGATATGTGATATATATGCTCTGAAATTATGTGGGCAGAGCTTGAGAGTCCAAATTGTCTTCACCAGTTTCTTTCTTTGAGGCAATGGCTGGAAGAGTTTCATTAACTACACTAGCAGAAAGGGTATGAAGGGTAAACTGAGGGGAAAAGTTTACAGAAGAGGAGACTACTGAACTATTGTCTTAAATGAATGAAATACTGCATGACTTGCTGAGAGAGTATAGGGACTGACCCTGGATGTCTTTTCAAAACATAACCTGTTAACTTTTGATGATTTTATACCTTAAGCCTGATAATAAGAAATTTCCAGTAATCCAGCCTATACGTAACAAATGCATGGACTAGTTTTTCTGCATCTTTCTGTGACAGGAGGTGCCAGATTTTTGCAATGTTGCGTAAGTGAAAAAAGGAAGGCCTAGAAGTTTGCTTTATATATAACGAAGCTTTATATATAATTAAGCTATATATAAAGCTAGTTATAGCCCGGGCGTTTGTTTGCTTAAATCACTGACCTCACCCTGCCTTTAATGGGGACAGGTGTCTATTTGGGACAGGCATTTAATTCCTTTAGTACATAACTCTTGCTCTGCAAAGATGGAAAATACTGTCTGCTGCTTCTTCTTGAGTTTTGTTCAACAAATTTGACAGTGAGCAACAAACATCACATGACAATATTCACAACTTGAATTAATCTTTAAACCTTTGATTTTGGATACTTACGGACTTAAGGAATATAAATAAATAATGGAGAAATGGATGCAGACCGTATGGTATGGACACTTCAAAGGTTGGGAGTCAGCGCTATTATTTCCGTCTCTCTTGTTTACTTTGCGGGTAAATCTGGATGAATTGTACTTTGGTGCTCATAGATTCTCCACAATTCAATCGTTCGATTAATTTTACGGAAACCAACTGATCTACCGACATGTAGCATGTCCATATTTACCGAAGTTTAAATGTTTATATTTGTGTAGGTGTTTTAAGTAGCCTTTTGCTGTATTCTTGGTTCAGCAATGTCCTAATAGAGGAAGACAACATTAGCTTTAAAGCTGCATTAGTTTGTTTCTTTAATAGAGCTCCTCCTGATGAGTAAACAGAACTTCAAGTGTATAACTGATAAAAGGCCTCTAAGGCCAGTACTTAAGAAAAAAAAGGTATAAAAAATGTGAGTGTATGGCTTGTTTGGATTTAATTAGACAGGTTTTAGACAAACGTAGTCTAAAAGCTCAGATGCTACAGAAAATAGCAAAAATGTCATGTCATAGATACACTTTATGGCACCAGACTCAATAAAGATGCATTTTCTTTATTAAGTACTTTCATTAAAGTGTTTATGTGACACACAAACGTTTGAATGAAAGTTTAACAGTGACCTGAGACACATTGACCTTGAGTACATCAACCAACACATTTCCTATGAGACGGTCTGATGTGTTCAGTCCATACACAAGAGATTAACATGTTTTTGAAAATAAAGATTGGCTGATGTAACTCCCATCTATTGTGATGCAGAGTAAACATGATGATTAAGCCTCAGGGTCATTAGTCCAGTGTATCTCTGTATTCCCAGGATGTCAGTCTATTGTTCATGTTATGCTCTGGGACCAGCGGTCTCCATGCAGTTCAAACTGCACTGTAACTGTGTGCAAACTCCTATAGATTAGATTCTGGATGACAGAGGCCCAGAAAAACAGACTTTTTTTTCATTGGAGTTGCTGATTTAGCATTACATATCTGATATGTAGAGTTACTTTCCAATTTCCAAACATTTGGATAAAAATGGCAGACTGAAACCAGAAGGGATGCCTTTTTGTGGTCTCTTGATTATATGTACAATTTAATAAGGCTTTGGGGTTTGTTCACCAAAAGTCAGAAATACTTTAAGTATTAAAAACAAAATGATAGTAAAAGAGAGTAAAAAGTCTGCGAGTAAGGTGGGTATGTTAATTCTTTGCATAAAACCAGTTTTCAGTGTGAATGGGAGGCTGTAGCTGTAACTTAGAAAGTCAGCTCAGCCACAGCACTTAGATTAAAGGTCCAGTGTGCAGAGGTGTATAGTAACAAAGTAGATGTACTCTGTTACACTACTTAAGTAGTTTTTTTGACGAATTGTACTTCACTTGAGTTTTTTTTTAATCAAGACTTTTACTTTTACTCTACTACATTTAAAAGTTAAAAAATATACTTTTACTCCGTTACTTTGACGTTTGCCAACTCGTTACTCATTACAAATTAGAATAGAAATATAATTAATCATCAAAGGATTATCTGGAATGGGCGTGTCCGAGAGATCGAGAAGAACAACGTACGGTACTCTCGCAAAGATTAGGTAAGGGCGGGATGCGCGGGGCGGCAGAGATCAACATGGCTACCTCCGCAGTTAACATTGATTGAAAACGACACTCACCCGTCGTGGTCATACCTGGCAACAGTGTTTGGCTACCTTGGGATGGGGGAAAATCCTAAAACATACAGAATAAAGTGCCTCTTGTGCCTACCGAAGTGCCACGAGATAAAGGCGTTTAAGAACTCTCTATGCAACCTCAAGAAACACAAGGGGAGAACCATTTTTGGTTGTTTTGCTTCTTTTTATGTGTACTATAAAAATACTTTGTACCTGAGTATATTTTTTCACAAGATACTTTTTTTTTTTTTTTTTGGCCTTTTATTGCCTTTATTTGATAGATACAGCTGAAGATAGACAGGAAAGGGGAGTAGAGAGAGGGGATGACACGCAGCAAAGGGCCGCAAGTCAGATTCAAACCCTGGGCTGCTGCAGCAAGGAATCAGCCTCGGTACATGGGTCGCCCACTCTACCCACTGAGCTAACCGGGCACCCCACAAGATACTTTTGCTACTTAAGTACATTTAATGTGAGCTACTTTAAGACTTTTACTCAAGTGATTTTCTTATGGGTGACTTTAACTTTTACCAAATATTCACTTGCTGTATGTAATATATCCCACCCACTGACAGGTGCCATGATAACGAGATAATCAGTGTTATTTACTTCACCTGTCAGTGGTCATAATGTAACGGCTGATCAGTGTATATAGAGCGTTTTCTAGTCTTCTGACCTGCTTTACACTACTGTCACATTCAACCATATTCATGCATTGATGGCAAAGGCTGCCATGCAAGGTGCTAACTGTTCATCAGAAACTAAACAGTCCCATTCAGACATACTCACAGCATCAGGAGCGATTTGGGGTTCAATATCTTGCCCAAGGACACTTTGACATGCAGATGGAGGAACAGAGGAGTGAACTACCAACCTTCTGATTAGTGGACAGCCCGCTCTACCTCCTGAGCCGCAGCTATCATAGTAAGTGTAAAACACAGGCGATTTACCAAAGGCAAAGAAATTCATGAATATGTTCAAAAGCACTTGATGACTTCCTTCCTCCTTGCAGGATTGCCAGTACTCATTTTACTGTGTGATCCTATCTATAGTAGGGATTCACTCAAATCCTCAACAAACCAATGGAAGCCCAGAATTTATGTTTTGACATCTCATTATGCCCTGCGGTGGTTTTCAGACTGTGCCATCATAAAGACACTGAGAACCTCTAACAGGTGACACCGTTCTCTATTCTGACCTACGTACCTTTAAGCTGCCTTTAAATTCTACACTTCCTCAAGCACGGAGCTGATGACCCAGCATTATAACCACATTGTACCTGCTCAGGCTGACCTACACTGGGCTGCACCCACTGGCTAGAGTTTTATTTGAATGTTCTCTAGCTGCCCACGATGTTAATCGAACTCCTTTAGTCTTACAAATAACCACAAATCCTCATTATAAACCTTTATGCACTCTAATCATGTCCTTTGACCTTTTCTAGGGAACAATAAATGTGTCTAGTGCTGTGGGCACAATGTTTGATAATTCAAAGATGGCAAAGAGAGCTCTAAGCTGTGTGCTGGCTGTTGTGGATTAATGTGACATATTCATTTTCTTTCTGCTTGTCTGGCATTATTGATATAATCTGAATAAAAATGTATTCCTCGCTGAAGTATGAGCCTTTTTTTATTTTTTTAACTGGAAGCTGTATAACTATAATATATTTCTGATATAACTATAATAGATTTGTGACGACCAATGTATCATACAAGTGGGTCTTTCTCTAATGCTGACAGAGGCCGCTACAGGAAATCTAGTTTAACTACAGCAGCCAGTCAACAACTAAATTACTGAACCAATTACATATCAGGATAAACTCCTTGAGATTTAACATGTAATTCTTTTGAGACACCACATTTGTTGCTGTACCTTCTCAGACATCAAAATAACAGTATTATACTTTTACTTCTAATATGGATAATCAGTATAACATTAAAGTGTGGAGGCGTGTAATTGAACTGCTATGCTTTATGAAAATGTGATCAGCTTCACCTTCGGTCACTGCATGTGACATATAAGGAAACATGGATAAGAATAATATTATTCCCATTGTTTAATTAGGGTGAGTAATTCAACTCTGGATCTTAATTTCTGGCAGCTGATTGGACTGTCACGATGCTCAACAAAGAATAAAAGCAGTTACATGTTTGTCAGACCAGTGGAGGATTATTTTAATGGTTGTGTTTCATCTTTTTTTACTGTAATACTTCCCCTAATATACTAACTGAGGAAAAGATAATTAAGGACAAGAGAGATATAACTGTTTGACAAATAGGTAAACAATGATCAATGCAACCATTTTTAGTGAATTTTCCTTAACAGGATTAAATGGCACAACAACAAAGCAAAGAGTCACTCTTTTCTCTTTCACCTTGTTGTGTTACAGTGTGATTTTGCTTGTCAATGGTGCTCTTATTGTTACTATCATACTGGAGGAAAAGCTTCATGAACCCATGTACATATTCCTCTGTAATCTGTGCATTAATAGTATTTTTGGGACAACAGGCTTTTACCCCAAATTCCTTTTTGATCTATTGTCTAACACTCATGTCATATCGTATACTGGTTGTCTGTTTCAGGTTTTTGTTATATACCTCTATGTAGCAACTGATTTCTCTATTCTAACCCTGATGGCGTATGACCGATATGTGGCTATATGTCGACCGCTGGAGTATCACTCTGTTATGACTAAACATAGGGTTGTGTTGTTGGTGTGTTTCTCCAGATTTGTACCTTTCCTCTGTCATGGTATTGTGGTGATAATGACCTCTAAACTGGAATTATGTGGCTCCCACATAGGAAAACTTTATTGTGATAACTGGTCAATCCTTAAACTTTCCTGCAGTTCAATAACAACAAATAATATTGTTGGATTTATGGTCATAGTGTTCTATTGCGGACATGACCTTTTCATTATGTGTTCATATGTGCTGTTGGTAAAATCAGCTTTAAAGTCAAGAGAGGGTAGAGGGAAGTTTATGCAGACCTGTGTGCCACATTTCTTATGTTTGCTTAATGTCACGGTCGCTTTGCTTTTTGACCTCATGTACGCTAGATATGGATCCAGCTCTATATCACAGAGTGTAAAGAACTTCATGGCCGTACAGTTTCTCATGATTCCACCCATTCTCAACCCTATAATTTATGGACTTAAACTGACGCAAGTACGCAACAGTTTTCTAAGTTTGTGTACAGACAACAAACGTTGGTTAAAAGATTAGGCTGATACATTGTGAACCTGTGTGACCTTTCTTTCAAAGCATGGGCGTATATCCAACTACATGAAACCTCTGTTCTGTGTCTGCTTTCAGAATTTTTCACATAATAGTTCTTTAAACATTTCATGATATCATTTGCAAATCATTCATGAGGAAAAACACTACACTATTAGTGTCAAAGGACGCTGATTCCACATGTATGAGAGTATCAACACATTTGTCAGTTACATGAGTTTTTCTTATTCAGTTTTCTCTGTTTCAGAGACGTGTTGATTAAACTTGGTCATTCTGGAGACCGTATTCTGTGGTGCTGTTATTATTGAAATGTGTTTCTAGTATTCATTCGCTCCCATTGACTGGTGTTCAACTGCTTTAATAGTAGCCATTCTATACAGAAATGTGTTTTAAATCCTCCTTAAACAAATAAACAAAAGATACAAACCATTACACAGCAAAATATGGAGCTAACATTCCTGATAATACTGATTTAAACTGCTGATCTAACATCTGCTGATTTTGTGTTTCCTAGACTGTTACGTTGTCAGCCGAACATGTTAATATGTAATATTGTTTTATTCATTTGCAAACTTGTAATCTTAAGTTATTCGATGCTGCCGTAGGTTGCATGACTTGAGGCAATTTATCCGACGTCTTGCAGCTCCCTCTGAAGCCACAAAAGGTTTTATCAAACCTTTTCACATATCCAGCACTCCCCATCATATGAAGTTATAAAGGTAATAAGCCGATCATGTTTTCAAACAGTTTCTCATATACAACTGGAAAACATAATTTTAAACAATAAGAAATAACAAAAGTCCAATATTCACTCGCCTTTGAGCTTTGATCGGTTTTCACAAATTCCAGAGAAAATGCCTGGTTCTTTAGCTACTGAACGTTTTCTGTGTGCTCTGTTATGCTGAGTAAGAGCTGTACCTGCTGTTAAAAATAGCAAAAATATACAGTTGTGGGCCATAAAACCAAAACAGTGAGCAGGAAGATGGTTTACTTTAAGGATAAGGGGGATGGCAGAGTTAAGCTTGGTGATCATTTTCTGTTGTTGATACAAAGGACACCTTTTACAAATTGAGTCATCTGACCCAAAAGCTTTGAAACATTAATGATATTTATATGACAGATGTTTAGCACTGAATATAGGTCGGGGAAATGGGAAGGAAATTAGTGAAATATGTAAATGCTGTGCAATAGCTTCTTATAATAATAATAATAATAATAAAAATAATAATAATAATTATTAATAATTTCTTGTAACTATACACCAACCTTTTTGGTGTTAGGGTTAGGTATTTCTGCCTATACTTTAGATTGTTAGATCAACAGAAAATTGTACCAATTAAGTGAGAAAACATGCACAATAGCAGCATCTTGACTCTGTTTGATCTAAATGGATTTAAACTTTAATTACAACTAGAATATTTGCATTCGCTGACGAAAGTGTCATTAATGCATCTGCTGCTGCCACCGCTACCGCAGGCACAGCTTCTGAAAGAGTGCCAGCAAGAAGTGTTTGTGATTCACATCTGAAGATACAGTCTTAACTGTGTTCAAGAGGTATCGGTCCAAAAGAGATAACGGTCCAAATAACATACGGAAGAAGAAAAAGAAGTAACACACATTTCGTGTTAAATTACTGGACTTAAAGTGGAAATAAAGTTGGTATTAATAATATGATTATTGTTACTATTACTGTATCTACAGCACTGACCTATAGAACAATGATATAATTATTTTTATAATTATTTGAATGAAATAAACAGCACTGATCTGTAACCTGTATACAGCACTGACCTCTGACCTGTACCTCTGACCTGTATACAGAACGGACCTCTGACCTGTGTACGGCACTGACCTCTGACCTGTATACAGCACTGACCTATAGAACAATAATATTATTATTGTTATGATTATTTGAATAAAAAATAAACAGTACTAATCTCTGACCTGTATACAGAACCGACCTCTGACCTGTATAAAGCACTGACCTCTGACCTGTATACAGAACCGACCTCTGACCTGTATAAAGCACTGACCTCTGACCTGTATACAGCACTGACCTCTGACCTGTATACAGCACTGACCTCTGACCTGTATGCAGCACTGACCTCTGACCTATATACAGCACTGACCTTCAGAACAATAATATGATGATATGTGATAAATGGATGACGTCATGACTTTTTCTCTTTATGACACTGACATTTAAAGAGGTGGACAAACTCTTAACTGTGTGCAACACTGAGGGAATTGTACTCAGTGTGATACATGGGGCTCACATGACTGCACGAGCCACCAGGGTGCCCCGAGATCACTGACATTTCTAAACTCTTTTGACTAAACTCTTTTTTTTTATATTTTTACTTTTTAAGACTAACAGAGAGCCAAAGTCAAATTGTAACTGTTTGGAAGAAAGTCTGATGAAAGAAATGCTCAATAGGACAAGACTGAGTTACAGGACTGAAACAGAGGCTCACTTGGGGATGACGTTGTGACTTTTTCTCTCAATGACACTCTGGCATTTAAAGAGGGGAACAAACTCTTAACTGTGTGCAACACTGAGGGAATTGCACATATACAGTGAACACTTTAAAAGCAATGCACCCTGTTCTCTAAATACTGTTTGACAGCCTTGTGTTTCTTTTTTACTACAAAATGAGTAATATATCTAGTATAGTTGTATTTTCACTGTCTGGCTTCAGTGCAACAGTCAACTACAGAGTCACTCTTTTCTCTCTCACTTTACTATGTTATTGTTTAATTGTGGTGGTAAATGTGTCTCTTATTTTAACCATAATACTGGATCAAAACTTACATGAACCCATGTACATGTTTTTGTGTTCTTTGTGCATCAATGGACTTTATGGGACTGCAGGCTTTTACCCCAAATTTGTTTCTGATCTTCTGTCTGATACTCATGTCATATCATATGCAGGATGCCTTTTGCAAGTCTTTGTTATATACTCCAATGCAAAAACTGACTACTCTATTTTAGTGCTAATGGCATATGACAGATATGTGGCTATATGTCGACCCCTGGAGTATCACTCTGTGATGTCTGTGCGAAGGACTGCTGTGTTACTCAGTTTGTCCTGGCTCTTACCTCTGTGCATTGAGGCTTCGGTTATAGGTCTAACATCTACGCTAAAATTATGTGGCTCCCACATACAGAAACTGTATTGTGAGAACTGGTCAATTGTTAAACTTGCTTGTGGTTCGACAAAAGTAAACGACATTGTCGGACTGATTATTATCACTTTTTATTTATTTCATGCTCTCTTCATTGGATGTTCATATGTTTGGCTCGTAAAGTCAGCTTTAAAGTCTAGAGAAGGTAGAAAAAAGTTTACACAGACATGTGTGCCACATTTATTATGTCTTCTCAATGTCACAGCTGCTTTGCTTTTTGACACCATGTACTCAAGGTATGGATCAGCATCTATGCCACAGACTCTAAGGAACTTCATGGCCATACAGTTTCTCATAATTCCACCGTTTCTCAACCCTATAATTTATGGACTGATTCTGACTAAAATTAGAAACAGAATGATACATTTATGTAAGATGGCAGGTCAAAGATTTAAATTGACACTCAAAGTCTGATACGTGTAACAACTCAACTACCACTACATTTTGAACAAACATAGGGTTGTTATGATGCAACATTTCTTCAGTTTTTATCTATTTAATGGGGTTAAACTGAGAAAAAGCGTTTTAGGTTTCAGTGGACAACAAAGGTGTTTTCAGATCAGCTCATAAACTCATAAACATCGTATCAGGGAGCTAGGTTGTCAGAGATTTGACTTTGAGGCATTTCAATATTAGAAAGATTAGAAATAAGGTGAACAATTAAAAGTATTTTAAGCTCACAGTAAGGTCAGTAAACCCTGACAGCTTTATTCTAGTAGTCCCTACAGGGATTATGTGAGAATATTAGGCATGATTTGAAATTATAAACAAAGTCTTTTTTTGTGTGTTTTTATGATTCAGTTGTTTTAGACACACGCACGCACTGCTTATATATTTGTCCTGATTTATATAACCTCCTTTCATTTTCTCGACAGAGAAATATTATCAATAACAACTGTCATATTTAATGCTGGCTGTTATTTTCTGTGCACACTGAAATGTAATAAGTCACCTAAATAATTAAATCCTTTTTTGTTAAGACACTAGAGTGTTTCTCTTGTTTGTTTGTGTGGATGCCGAATCATCATTACATCGTAGATATAGTTATATTAGGTCTGTGATATCTTTAGATAATATTGTTGGTACAGGTTCTACCCACAGAGCTTCATAGTTTTTAAGCAAGCCATGTTTCTATCAGTCCATCTTTCTGCTTGTCCTTCCACCAACACAGACCACAATACTTTCTCAACCTGCATAATATATTCAAATTCCAATATGCTTCAGTATTAGACACTTAAATACTGTAATGTACATGTCGAATTTGAGTTATTATGAGTTACATAATGCAGTAAAGGTAAATATTGTAATAATTATATTTTTCATATTGTCAAAAAATCCAATATCTGTGTGTTCGAGGCCTGATACAGTTTATTCCTCTGTGCCATTGAGCTCCACAGTAGATCCAAACCTTTAGACACATTACTGAGTGAAACTGTTGGGTTTTTAAAATCCTTTGATTAAATCCAAAAAATACTCGATGGTATAAGGTCTAATTTTCCCCTCACTGTTCTTCCCCCTGCAACGTTCAGTCGTCCTATTTTACTGTTTGATTTTGCTCTGATCTCTTTACAGATCCTTTCAAAAACTGTCGATAAGATGCGTCCCTCCTCCAGTCCCTGTGACATAGCTCCTACAACATTTTTAAAAACCATACTCCCTGTCTTAGGTCCTAGCCTGCTTGCTATCATCAATTCCTCTCTCACATCAGGGTCTGTACCTGACCTCTTTAAAAGTGCCAGTGTTCAGCCACTTCTTAAAAAACCCTCTCTTAATCCAGACCAGTTAGAAAACTATAGACCTATCTCCAAACTTCCCTTTTTATCTAAAATCCTTGAAAAGATTGTCGCGGACCTGCTCCTGAAGCTGTCATAGAATCTTTGACAAATTTCAATCTGGTTTTCGCCAAAAACATAGCACCGAGACAGCATTACTGAGAGTGTCTAATGACATCCTTGTGCATCCTGACAAAAGTGAAAGCTCCATCCTTATTCTTCTTGATCTGACTGCAGCCTTTGATACCATCGATCATGCCATTTTACTGGATAGATTACAGAACTGGGTTGGCATTTCTGTTACAGCCTTAAATTGGTTTAATTCCTACTTGACTAATAGAGTCTTTAATGTCTGCATTAATAATCATGTTCCCTCTACCGCTGCCCTGCTGTGTGGTGTCCCTCAGGGGTCGGTTCTTAGTCCAGTTCTGTTCTCCCTGTACATGCTTCCTCTGGGTCATCTGTTCAGTCGCTTCAATGACATGTCATACCACTGGTATGCGGATGATACACAGATTTACTTTTCTGCGAAACCCAATAACCTGAATCAACTGTCCTCTCTCCATGAGTGCTTAGCGGCCACCAAAGACTGGATGTCTCTTAATTTCCTCCACTTAAATCCGGATAAAACTGAAATCATTTTATTTGGCCCAGATAAATTTGTCACTGCAGTTGATCAGTTTATTGGACCACTATGCACTAACATCAAACCCACTGCTAAGAATCTGGGTATCATCTTCAACCAGCATATGACATTTGACCTTCATGTCACAAAACTTGTCCAGTCCTGTTTCCTGCAGCTACGAAATATAGCAAAAATCAAAAGATTCCTGTCCTCCAGTGATCTGGAACAATTAATTCACACCTTCATTTTCTTCCGTCTAGATTAGAGAGAGTAACTCCCTCTACATGTGCCTCAGTCAGGCTTCCTTAAATCATTTACAGTTAGTACAAAATGCAGGTGCCAGACTTTTAACCAGAACAAGTCGTTGGTCCAACATTACTCCTGTTCATGCATCCCTTCATTGGCTTCCTGTAAAATTCAGAATCAACTATAAGATCTTACTGATTACATATAAGGCACTTCATGACCTTTCTCCCAGTTACATTTCAGATCTCCCTGTTCCTCATTCCACTCCTCGGCCACTCCGCTCCTCAAATCTGCCTTTTATCCGTTCCACGCTCTACCTGTAAATCTAAAGGTGACCGTGCCTTCGCTGTTCTAGCCCCAGCACAGATTAAGACACTGCTGTACTTTTATAAAGATATATTTTTGGCATTTTTATGCTTTATTCGACATTGACAGCTGGAAACATAAAAAAGAAAGGCAGGGACACAGAGAGGGGATGACATCGACCTACGGGCTGCTGCAATAAGTACTCAGCGTGATACATGGGGGTGTACTACAGGGTAGCCGCGGGGAGCTCGGCTCTTCTTAATAAGACATAAGCTCCCCTGAAAACATGATTTGGCAAAATTCGGGGGTGATCTATAAAATACTGACAACATGCCATTTTTGACATGTATTTCTATTTTTCTGTATTTTCCTCATCATAGGTCAATTATGGTCTTATTGATGTGTGTTGCATGCATTAGGTTGATTCATCAGTGATCATTAATTCATTTTAATAAAGATACCGGTATACAATATCATAAACTTCACTCACTTTTTATCTCGTAGGTTTGATATGTAACCCATTCATTTTATGTCTTAATTGTAATAATTATTGTACATCAGATGAGCTAACATAAAACCAGTTGTCCATTGCAGCTATAGATGTTTGTACTGACCACTGCAGAACGAGAACACCCCACAAGAGCGGCAGTTTTGGAGATGCTCTGACCCAAGTCGTCTAGCCATCTGCCTAATATATCCCACCCATGCCATGATGAGTGTGAGTTATTCACTTCACCTGTCAGTGGTTATAATGTTATGGCTGATTGATGTAATTGATTAACTAACTTTATAGCAGGAATACAGATATATTTATTTTTCCTGACTTAATCCTGGCTAACAGCTAAAACTGCTAGTAAAAGCCGTACACAAGCATTGAAGGGGGGGAAGTAAAGATTAATGGTGCATTCCTACCAAACGCAAAGAAAATTACATACAAAGTCAATGCAAAAATGCAAATAAACGCATATTGAAAAAAAAAAAAAATTGGGTTTATCTTTTACAAATTGGCATCATGATGTAATAATTTCTTTATGATCTGTTTATTGACAGCAAAACCTATTTATTTTAGACTTATATCAAAGTTGCAAACCAGATTAAAGTGCAAATATTGGCCTTACGTTACTAATGTGAGTAACACAAGTGAAAACAAATGATCCCGCAAGTAAACTAACGTGAGTAATGCAAAGCAAAAATTCACCACATGAAGGGTTTGGGGTTTTTTTACATTTTCCAGCTTTCCAGTGATGTTAGGGTAACTGAGTGAGAGAGTGAACAAGACAACATTTTTGATTTAGTGAAAAAAACATTAAAACTCCTTGTCTGACACTTAAAATAGCTGAAGCTAGCATTAGTGGCTGTCCAGTGTTTGCAGTTGAACTGATTGGTGTGTTCAGGGATAATCAGATGCATAATAAAAGTGTATGTATTAATTTCAGCTATTATAGTTATAGTGCATTATATAAAATGTACCTTTAGTTATGAATAACATCAGTTACATTTATAAATACGTTTATCATCATCATTATATTTCAGTCAATAAAATCCTCAACAGTATAAGACTGTAAACTGATTCTATTCTTAATCACCTTGGTATAATTTTTTCAGCCAATGACACAACTCCACTAGAGGAGAGAGCGTCTCACATAAATACATGCACAACATAGACTCACTGGCCAACCTACAGTGGCTGACATATGGGTGTGAAAATTTTCATCTTTTCAGAACAATGCTGTATGTACAATAATGTCTTCTGAATACTGTTTATATGTTTGACAGGTTTGGTTTTTAAAGCTTACTGCAAAATGAGTAATATATCTAGTATACTTGTATTTTCACTGTCTGGCTTCAGTGCAACAGTCAACTACAGAGTCACTCTTTTCTCTCTCACTTTACTATGTTATTGTTTAATTGTGGTGGTAAATGTGTCTCTTATTTTAACCATAATACTGGATCAAAACTTACATGAACCCATGTACATTTTCTTGTGTAATCTGTGCATCAATGGACTTTATGGGACTGCAGCATTTTATCCTAAATTTGCATTTGATCTCCTGTCTGATATTTATGTCATATCATATGTGGGATGCCTTCTGCAAGTCTATGTTATATACTCATATGCAACAATTGATTTCTCTATTCTAGCTCTGATGGCATATGACAGATATGTGGCTATATGTCGACCCCTGGAGTATCACTCTGTGATGTCTGTGCAAAGGATTGCTGTGTTAATTAGTTTGGCTTGGCTCGTTCCTTTGTGGTGTGAGGTTTTAGTTATATCTTTGACATCTAAATTGAAATTATGTGGCTCCCACATACAGAAACTGTATTGTGAGAACTGGTCAATTGTTAAACTTGCTTGTAGTTCGACAAAAGCAAACGATATTGTCGGACTGATTGTTATTTCCTTCTATTGTGCTCATGTTGTCTTCATTGTGTATTCTTATGTGCGGCTTATAAAGTCAGCTTTAAAGTCAAAAGAAGGTAGGAAAAAGTTTACACAGACATGTGTGCCACATTTATTATGTCTGCTTAATGTCACAGCTGCTTTGCTTTTTGACACCATGTACTCAAGGTATGGATCAGCATCTGTGCCACAGAGTGTAAAGAACTTCATGGCCGTTCAGTTTCTCATGATGCCCCCGGTTCTAAACCCTATTATTTATGGATTGATCCTGACTAAAATTCGATACAGAGTGGCCACTTTATGTTTGATGGTAGGTCAGAGGTTTAAGTTGAGACTGAAGGTTTGATTAAAGTAATATATTGTCCTATCAAACACACCATAATGGTCAGTATAGAGAGTAAATAAACAATTTCTATCATCAGTCCTGTACATTTATTATTAAACGAGCAGGTTTCAGACATCAAATGCATGAAACAATACATGAAGCTTGAAGCATAATAGTACAGTAGAAGTATGATACTCACACATTTTCTGTCTGAACTGACATTTCTTCTGGCTCAGCTGGTGTCATATTGTTCTCTAACTAGAATGAAGACTTTCTCTAGAGCTGAAAGCTTACCATTCATAAGACACACATCAGACTGTGCAGCTATGATTAGTCTATACAATGTGTGAATACTCAGTTGTTACCACGATAGAATTTTCTACTCACGTGGAGCTCAGGTGAGTATAAATCCAAACCCTTTATGTACAGAACTTGAGTCAATCTGTATAAAATGTTTATTGACCTACTTATGAAAAGTAATGATAATAAAAGGTATAATATGGGAATCAATGCCTGTGACCATAATTGTTTTTTTACTACTTTCAATAAGTGTGGTTTGTGTACACATACACAATATACACCGATCAGCCATAACATTATGAGCACTGACAGGTGAAGTTAATAACACTGATTATCTGGTTATCACTGCTCCAGTCAGACGGTAGGATATATAAAGCAGCAAGTGAACATTTTGTCCTCAAAGTTGATGTGTTAGAAGCAGGAAAAATGGGCAGTGTTATGATTTGAGCAACTTTGACAAGGGCCAAATTGTGACAGGGTCATGAAAGCTCACTGATGGACATGGGGAGCTACTGAAGCTCAAATTGCTGAAAAAGGTCTGGTTCTGATAGAAAGGTGTCAGAACACACTGGTTGTTGGTCTGGGGCTGCATAACATTATGACCACTGTCACTCTGCTCTGCAGTAATACAACACTCTCCTCAGTCCTGAACAGAGCTGCTGTCTCTCTGTTGTTCCTGCTCACCCCACCTGTGTTGCAGAGCAGCAAATCACCCAGAGGCTGGTTCACTCACCTGGTCACAAGCTTGAGAGGAGCAGCTAAAACATCAGACAACAGAGAAATATTTCTTTAGTGAACAGCTAGAGGAAGATTTATATGGTTGACTTTAAATCAAATTCAATTAAATAAAGTTGATTTATTTAATTAATACTTCATACTTGGGTGTATTACAAACAGGGAAGTCTGTCTGTCTGTCTCAAGCGCAGAGTTTAAAGGAAAATGTTTTAAGATCTGATCCGACTCAACTGGTCTCAGTAAGCTGTCAGTTTTGTGTGAATACTCAGTTGTTACTAAGGATAGAAGCACCCTCTGCACAACACCTTCACCAGGCAGAGGAGTGTGTTCAGTGGCAGACTGCTGCAGTCCAGCTCCACCAACAGACTCAAAAACTCTTTCGTCCCCCTGGCCATCAGACTGTACAAGACCTCTTAGTCAAGACAGGGAGGACAATAGACGACGGACAATTTCTACCTCCATTTGCACTGCTTACTGTTTTGCACTGTTTACTGTGGCTAATGTGTTATAAGTCAATTATATTTTTAATTTTATTTTAATGTATGTTTAATGTATGTCATGTATGTTTTGTATGCTACTGGATACTTGAATTTCCCTCGGGATAAATAAAAATCTATCTATCTATCTCTATGTATTGTAAATTCTCTTTCCAGAATGTATGCTCACTTTATAAACATGACAATTTAAGAGCATTTAGCAAAACAACGTACACATTTTAAATACTCTATAATTAAGGAAAAATAAGTGCATTAAATAAAATCTGGGTCACAGGAGATTTCATCCTACTTCCCCAGTCTCTGGGAATTAACAGTATATAGCAATAAACATTTTAAGTTCCATAAATGTCTCAGTTAACTCCGTAATTCAAAAAACATAACAATACACATTAAACTTTACAGGATAACCAAGCCAGTGAACACACTATGTTGGCTTGGAGATACAGTAAACCCAGCTTTCCAGCCTGTGTTTCTACAGGCTTAAAGTAAATATTTCTGACCTGTCCTTCTTGCAGAGCAGGTTTGAAACATCCATATTGTTGAGTGTCACAGGCAGCGAGTAATTCAAGTAGTGGGAAACAAAATGGGGGATGTTTTCTCTGCACTTGTTCAGCACTTTTGGGCAACTTTACTGATATCCTTCTGGTTGCCTTTCAAGGCAACACAGTGTCCCGAAGACTCATTCCACTCAGAGTCAAAGGTGGATAGTGTGTTGGGCATCTTACTTTAAAAAAGTAATTATTTATAGTTACAAATTACTTCTCCCAAAAAGTAATTGAGTTAGTAACTTAGTTACCGCATTGTAAAAGTAATTAGTTACTCAGCAAAGAAACTGTGACGTTATTTTTTATCTTCTATAACGCTATTACATTCTATAACATCTTCTATAATGCAAAGATGTTTATAATAACTGAATGAAGAATAAAAACACTATATACAGTATTTTAGAACATTTGGTATTTATTTGAACTCAACAGATTGCAGCCGCCCATATGCATAGAAATAAAAAATATATAAAAAATAAATTATAATAATATAATCATTCACACTTTGCATTCAAGTGCAAAATTAAGACACACAAATGTAAACTTGGGTAAAAAGAAACAAAGGAAAATCTGGCCATTAAGTAGTGCAAATCTCTGTATCTGTATATTATTGCACAATAAACAGAGCACTATCCAACTCTTAAATATGTAGATTAACATGTTGTTCGTTCTCAGTGAAACTGAACAATACATTAATCTATACTAAAATACTCCACTCTAAAACCTGACAGTCCAGAGTTAGGACCAGGAAGCAGAGCTGCTGTCTTACACACTCCTCTGCGCTTTCTTTAGAACAGTCACCCACCCAAAACCCCATAGAGACTGTGTCTGTCCCCGACCACCTAAACTATTTAAAGAAATAAAAACAAGAGGAGTTCAACATAAAAATCTAATAAAAATTAAAACCAACTCCTCAGTAGCACAAAATAAGAGAATGAAATGTGGGCTGTTAAATATCAGGTCTCTGTCCTCTAAAGCTGTTCTAGTGAATGAATTAATATCAGATTATGATATTGATTTACTTTGTCTTACTGAGACCTGGTTGTCCCACGAGGAGTATGTTAGCCTAAATGAATCCACCCCCCAGTCATATTAATACTCACATTCCTCGAGGCACAGGCCGAGGAGGTGGAGTAGCAGCTATATATGATTCGAGCGTTTTAATGGACCCTAAACCTAAACTAAATTATAATTCATTTGAAAGCCTTGTTCTTAGTCTTTCTCACCCAAACTGGAAAACACTGCAGCCAGTTCTATTTGTTATAGTGTACCGCGCTCCTGGACCGTACTCTGATTTTATATCTGAATTTTCAGAGTTTCTATCAAGCTTAGTCCTTAAATCAGATAAAGTAATTATTGTAGGTGATTTTAATATTCATGTGGATGTTGACAATGACAGCCTTAGTAATGCATTTATATCATTAATAGACTCAATTGGCTTCTGTCAGAGTGTAAATAAACCAACTCATTGTTTTAATCACACTCTTGACCTTGTTTTATCATATGGCATTGATATTGAACATTTAATAGTGTTCCCACATAATCCTTTCCTATCTGACCATTATTTAATAACTTTTGAATTCATACTATTAGATTATAAGCCATTAGGCAAAACTTCCTACAGCAGATGTCTATCTGACAGTGCTGTAGCTAAATTTAAGGAGGAGATTCCTTCAGTGTTTAATTCAATGCCATGTCTGAATTTAACAGAGTCCTATAACAACTTTAGTCCCTCTGAAATTGATAATCTTGTCGATAGTGCTACAGGCTCACTACGATCAACATTAGACTCTATCGCTCCTATAAAAAGGAAATTATTAAAACATAGGAGACTAGCACCTTGGTATAACCACCAAACCCGCCAGTTAAAGCAAATAGCTAGGAAATCTGAAAGGAAATGGCGCTCTTCCAAATTATCAGAATATCGCTCAAATTGGCAAGATGATCTTAAGATTTATAGAAAGGCCCTCCGTAATGCCAGAGGAGCCTATTATTCAGCACTAATAGAAGAAAATAAGAACAACCCTAGGTTCCTCTTCAGCACTGTAGCCAGGCTGACAGAGAGTCACAGCTCTATCGAGCCACATATCCCCATAAACTTAAGTAGCAATGACTTCATGAGCTTCTTCTATAATAAAATTATTACTATTAGAGAAAAAATTAATCACCAACTGCCATCAACAGTTATCAGTGGCTCTCCAAGTTCAGGGACTTCTGTCAATGTAAACTTAGATGTATATTTAGACTGTTTTTCTGCTATCGATCTTCATCAGTTAACTTCAATCATTTCTTCATCGAAGCCATCAACCTGTCTGTTAGACCCGATCCCAACTAGGCTGCTTAAAGAAGTTGTTCCCTTAATTGGCACTTCTTTACTGGATATGATTAATCTTTCTTTATTATCAGGATATGTACCACAGTCCTTTAAAGTAGCTGTAATTAAACCCCTTCTTAAAAAGTCTACTCTTGACCCAGGGGTTTTAGCCAACTATAGACCGATTTCTAACCTCCCGTTCCTCTCTAAGATTCTGGAGAAAGTAGTCGCCAAAGAGTTGTGTGACTTTCTACATAACAATAGTTTATTTGAGGATTTTCAGTCAGGATTTAGAGTTCATCATAGCACAGAGACAGCTCTGGTTAAAGTTAATAATGACCTTCTGACTGCTTCTGACAATGGACTTGTCTCTGTACTTGTATTATTAGATCTTAGTGCTGCATTTGACACCATTGACCATGATATTCTTTTACAGAGACTTGAGCATCAAATTGGCATTAAAGGAACTGCCCTAACCTGGTTTAAGTCATACTTATCAGATCGTACTCAGTTTGTACATGTTAACGATGAATCCTCCATAAATACTAAAGTTAGTCATGGAGTTCCACAAGGTTCTGTACTTGGACCAATACTATTTACTTTATATATGCTCCCTTTAGGCAACATTATTAGGAATCACTCCATTAACTTTCACTGTTATGCAGATGATACGCAGTTATATCTATCAATCAAACCCAATGAAATTAATCAATTATCTAAATTACAAACATGTCTTAAGGACATAAAATCCTGGATGACCTGCAATTTTCTGATGTTAAACTCAGAAAAAACCGAAATTCTTGTTCTTGGCCCCAAAAACCTTAGAGACTCATTGTCTAAAGATATAGTCACTCTAGATGGCATTAACTTGGCCTCTAGCACCACTGTCAGGAATCTTGGAGTTATCTTTGATCAGGATTTGTCATTTAACTCCCACATAAAGCAGACCTCTAGGACTGCCTTCTTTCATTACGTAATATTAGAAAAATTAGACACATACTATCACAGACAGATGCAGAAAAACTAATCCATGCATTTGTTACTTCAAGGCTGGATTACTGCAACACTTTATTATCAGGTTGCCCCAATAAGTCCATTAAAACGCTCCAATTAATTCAG